CTCGACCGACGCCTGTTTCTTCGCTCGGTCTGCCAGATAAAACATTCACATTCTCAGCTTGGCCCGCCTTGAAGGAGGGGGAAACAGCCAAGGAACGTGTTCTGCCAGACGAGAATGTCCAAGAGAACCAAGAGATGGGTGGAGGTGATAGTCATAATTCTAGAAGACCGAGACATTCATTAGGCGACATTAGCCAATCAGAATGTCGAAGTCGTACACAATCTTGCTTAGATAGGATCTTGATTTTTCGCCTCTCGAATGATGATTTTCCAGCGGCCTCTAGTAGCTTGCGTTCTCGCCAAGTGCATCCAGAAAAAGCCTTGGAAGACTAAAATTTTCTCATGATGGATTACCTTGCTTCTTGTCGTCATCGCATCCTCACCCCCTTCGCTCTTCCATGACAATGGAAGAGCACATTACTGTCGGTAGTTGATGAGGCATTCAGGGTCCGATGATGGATGGCATGGTATGCCTGGCAAATCTACTTTGCGCTCCGTCGCGCGTGGTTTGGATGATAGGATAATAATTTGTCGGACTTTAGATGCTAGGCGGCGATTATGAACCCAATACTGCGAAAACTGCACTGATGTCTAACCCAAGTGTCAGGTTAAGGTCGCCTGCGTAGAGGGTCCTTTGGGTAGATCTTGAGATCCCTCTGTGGATGCCGAGGTCTATCCACTGAGCAAAGCCCCGTAGATAAGGCAAATCACGAAATGGCGAACCGCGGCGACATGCAACCAGACGACGACACATGCCGCCGCCGCTCGGGGACATCTCGGAAATGATGTCGCGTCTTTCCTAATCAGCCCCCTTGAGTACGCAATAGATCCAAGACGATCAAAAAGTGACAACTGTCAATAGGGAAATGGTTGGTATCTAAGAATATCTACACAGTAATAAAATACATCCGCCAATGCTCGGCGCGTCGGTAAACCCGCAGTCAATGATGATCATTTCAATGGTGGTCTTGGCAAGCTGGCGGAAAAAGTTCATCGGAATATCCTTCAACGATCGTATTATCACGATCAAGTTTCTTCCATAACATAGGTTCCTATTCCGAGTATGGGCAAAGTCCTTGGCCATTGTTAAAGCGTTGGATATTTTGGAATAGCGCTGGGAAGTGACGGAGCCGATGTGCAGACTATTCTAGACGCTACTGAAGCAATTATCTACATATGATATGACGCATGTAGGATCAGGCCTCGAAGAAAACCGTTGGTTCGTGTCACCATTCCAACGATGCTATCTGTTCCCATTACACGGGCCAATGAACGCGATGTCCTCGTAGTTGTATCTTGATATAAAATTTTCATACATATCGTAAACGCATTTAGCGACCTCAGGGCGTGAACACTTACATCATCTCGATCGAGACACCGCAAGTTACCAGCAACCACGGTCTTTGACAATCCGTTGCTACGTTTGGCGTTAAAGCCTAGGAGCGTAATGATTATGATTAGCGCGCTTTTCATTCACTCAATGGTCGAATTTTAGAGCTCTTGGTACTTGGCAAACGCAAGAGGTAAGGATAGTGGCTGGGTTGAACGCGCTATGCCAAGATCTTGGACTATTTCTTGGTATTGACAATGTTTCTGCTACACTGAAACGAAACTGAACACGACTAAGAACTCAATTACACAGCCAAGAAACCCAACAACGGCAATCATTTACAGGATTTTAGGAACTGTTATGCCAATCCTTCTGACCAGAGCCATCTTGCAGATATGTAGCTGATACTATGTATTCTTGGCGTCGAGCGGAAGTGCTGATGACCGCGAAGGATGATTCCATTTCGGCTCCTTTCCTTCTAGAATGGACGTCGAAGTTAGCAAATACTCGGGACCTTCCATCGTAAGCTTATAATATTCATTGCCGCTGCTTATGGTAGGTTCCATTGCTTGCTCAGTGTGATCAAGATCAACGTTTGAGAACAGAATGCTCGCACCCCTCCATAGATGTTCAATAGCTCTCTAGTGGCCAAGTATTGAAACACCATTGAAATGGCATTAGAAATACCCCCTGACATAAAAGCCTACCTACCTACATAGTAGAACGTGGCGCAACGAGACGAATTTGAACGATTAGGTATTCGGTGACCAGCTAGAGACCCAAATTTAGATATCATGAGTTTCTTTAATATCACTGATCGAACTGCCATCCAATCATAGCAAACATAATTTCTACTATGGCCAAGATGATTAAGCCCCGATTACAGGCACACCATCAAGTTCAGCTTGGATTACTAGATTGCTAGGAGTCGATTTGTACACTATCAAATGCTAATGTTAGATGGCCAAGAATATTAGGAATTTACGCATCCCAATGAAACTCCCTTCCAAGCCAAATAGCTGAAAATCGGTAATAAGCGGTACGAGATCCATTGTACATCGCATTTGATACGGTTTACTTGAATCCAATCTGCAATGAGTTATTTACACTTGTAAACAAGCATAAAATTATGAAAGTGCTTGGAGTTTCCGTTCCTAGTGAGAAATGATGCCCCATACCCGCCCACTTAGACAACAAAAACATCCACACTAAGCTGGGGCTTTCTGGGGTCTCCAGGGTTAACTCTTTGATTAATGGTACGTCTTAGAACCGTCTAAAGTGACGAATAGTATCGTGGTAACACAAAGCCTTGGAATCTCTCTCCTCCACATTTCCCCCGTTTCGCCGCGGAAAAGTGCCTGTGAGGTATCGTATACCTCGTAAGGTACCTCGCACCTCCTGCCATGTTTGCATTGCGTTATATCACCAGCTTAGCTAAGCTACGTGTGTAGTAGTGTCGCAGGCTATGATGTGAACTATGATGAATTCCCTCTGTGTGTTGCAGTAGTCAGGGCGGTAATCTCACGGGTTCTCCATTCTGACCACCGGGGGACTTACACACATTACATACGCCCGCCCTCTTACTGTACTGTACGGGAGCGGAACCGTACCGACGAAATACTCGACGTTTGCCAAGGCTTGCATGGATTTTGCCGCGCAATTACTGCGCACATATGTGCTACTATGTATATAAAACATACCTACTAGGGATTTCTTAGCGGGCTATGTAGAGCCAACAATTCAACACAGAGCATTGCTGTGTATGTATGTACAATAGCTACCTAGGTAGGTACCTACCTACTTATCTCTCTCCTCTGCGTGGTGGTATGTACATACGTATGTGTATTTGATGCTACAGTTGAGAGTGTGTAAATAGAATATGGATGTATGCCAAGTGTTTTGAAGTCCGGGATCGAATCGAAGTAGTGCGAATGATCTCAGATCTCGCTCTTTCTCCAGCACACTTCAGTCAATATACACATTACCCCTTAGGAATTAACTTGAGTCTTTTTCTGCTGCTTCTAATTAATTTAATAAGTCGACATATTCCTCCTCCCCACGCTATACGCTGTACGCCCACTCTACTACTACCACCTAGCATACTCCCATCCACCTTTTATACTACCATCGTAACCCCAACCTCAAACGTAGTAGACGTTTGATCCTGAACCGGGACACATCAACATTTCCTGCAGGCCGCTTCATCAAGCCGGCCACCCCCCTTTCCACAGGGTCCTTTCTGCAGCTAGCGTCGTGCATAGCTTTCCTCGGATTCTTGTAGTCGTTGTACTATACCTACCATACCTACAACCTTCGTACTTTACTAAAGTACGAGCTAGGGTGCCATAGTTGTGGGTTATCCGCATGCACATTACGACTTAGGCCAAAGATCAACTAAGGCACCCACAACTTTTCTCGACTTACAGACTTACTTACAGATGAATGCCTGCAACCTTGTTATTTTCTTGGGCTCTTAATTCTTATTATTATAATCGGCTTCCATCCCCTCCCGACGAATCTCTCCTTCTCTTCTCCCGCTCTTCTTGCCTTGGCATTCAGGCAACGTAGATCCAGGGACCAGACAATTTCTATATAACACCCATATCTGCGGTTTTTGTCTGCTGCCGCTGTTGCTGTATGCCGTGTGCAACCACCACATTGCATCAGCATACTACTACTACATATATTTAAACAGCCATCCAACCGGCCGTTGACCAACTCCTGCACGGAACGTTCGAAGAAGAAAACAGCCAAGACAAACCAACTATTCGGTTGGTTGGTTGCTCGTCGTTCGTTTCTCTTTGGATTGTCGCCACAGACATAAAAAACGCCAAACCTGCCTCGTCGACTAGCTTGCTTGGCTACGCAGAGAAACCCGAAAGCGAAAAAGAAGGACCGGTGTCGCTATTCCCGCGGCCCCATCGAAATTTGGCCATATCCATACTAGACCGGGTCTACCAACTAGTTCGCTGGACAGCTCCGATCTCGTAACAACAACAAAGAAAAAAGCGGAAGGAGATCGGAATCGCGAATCGACCGAGCGACTCCGACTACCGACTACCGAGGGTGCTTGTCAAAGATCTTCTTGTCCTTGTCAGTGCCATAGTAGGTAGTGAGCGCTCACGTACTGGTGCATTCGACCCGCTACTAAGTAGTAGAATTAGATTCAATTTTTTGACTTGATCTATTCTATCCTGTCCCCCAATTAAATTGGGAGATGGGCCAGTGTGTCTCACGGGAATTACCTACGTTTTTGGATAGCAATCCAAAAAAATTCAACGACCTTTCCCCTTCTAAGAAAAAATAAGATCGAAAATTGAGGCAAAGCGGAAAATAAAGCGCTCAATTCATCGCCGAAGTCCCGCCATAGGTTACAAGGTCCCAACCAATTTCGCCTGCAACTTACAAGTTTATTAATTTGCCATTGACGCTAAGGTATTACTACCCTCCTCCCACTCACGCCCCTCGCACCCCCCCAAATACCCCCCTAAGATCCATTCCCCTAAAGTGGTGTCCGGGCTTGTCTGGGTGGTAATCAAGAATCAAACCCGCCTAGAGCCTAGCGTGTTTAGTGCTCTAGCGCCCTGCCAGTGTCCCATCACCCATCACCCAGTACCCAGTGCCCACAGTTCCGAATTTTAAGTTAACGTGCTAATCCAAGCCAGTCAGCTAGGCCCGTGCTTTTGTTGGTAACTCTACACTTTATACTTTTGTATTGTACCTGGGTACTTGGTACCAATCAAAGCGATCGCAAATGATCATAAGTACCCGGCACCAGTCCAATCAATTTAGAACAATGGCAGCCCCACAAACCCAGGTTAGAACCCTGCCTTCAGCGATGTCATCGCCATTGCCTTCCAGCGCCTCTACGTCGCCCTTGCAGGCTCTACAATTACAGGCCTCTCAACCCACCAAAGTCACCAAAGTCACAGCTTCTGCACCTGCAAAACGACCCACGCCGCAACAACCCTCCTCGCATCCACCCACTTCAACTCAACTGCTGCACCCTTCCAATTCCCACCCGGACGCCCCAGTTTCTTCAGTAACGACGGCAGAAGTACCAGCTGATGCTAACGTAAATGCAAATGCGAATGGTAATGCTGAGGTGAATGCGAGTGTTACTCGAATTTCGTCATCTGCGTCAACAACACCCTTTGGTAAATTCCACTTCCCATTCTTATTCTCATTTTTATTTTTTAGTAAAAGAAGAAAAATAAATTTAACCAATAATTCACCTACAGACATTTCTCCTTCGCCCTCTACCATTTCTCTCAATACTACTACTTCGACCACCGCTTATTACAGTCACAACCAAACCCCAATTGAATCACTTCGGCGTTACCCGCTGGACCTCACTAGTCCAATTCCTGAAGAAGGCGACGAGGAAACCGGAAGCGAATCGTTTTCTAACGAACCCATAACTCCAGTTAGCGGGAGACAATCACGGGATTTTCGCTATTGCGAACAAAACGATACATACCAAAGTCGTGATTCAATTACTAATGGTCTTGACGCCTCTTCTATATCAGGTGTTCCAGAACAAACTGATACGTCCTTGACCATTACTACCACTAATAAAAGCATCGTGAATCCATCGCTTTTACTCTCACCCACTCACCTCCCACTACCCTCACAACAACTCCCACCACCGACGTCACATGCATTGTCACCACCATCGCCTACCTCTATAACACCTCAGGCGCCGCATGAGTCATTAAGTACACGTCCTACAACACAATCTGATAATCGACCTGAATCATCTCGTCGTCCCTCAACACCTGCACGATCCATTGCGCGACGTGCATCGTCGGGCCTATCTACACTTTCTAAGACAATGACCATGTTTAAGAGGAATAGTTACCATGTGGGGGATAACAGTGCAACCGGGGAGTTTAAGGACCCCAATTACGTTGCGGGTGTATCTGAAACCACTCTCAATTCTACCAATAGGGTGACACCAAATTCCAGTCGCCGTCGCTTTTCGTTTCACAGGTCTTCAACAACTACAAGATCCAACACCCCACCTTCACCTGGTTCTCCCGCAGAATTACCCCCAAATGCAAGCAAGGAGAAGTCAAATCGGATATCGATACCTACTTCCCGCGACTTTTTGGAGAACCACGCCAAGAAAAATAGAGCAAACACTGGCTTCTCAATCCGCGACAAAATGGTGAGTTTCGCATCTAATAGGAATTCAATGCGCCGAACGAGGAGCCTTGAAAGGAAAAAGAAGAAGCCGGAAGAGGAGGACGAATTGACAAGACAACCATGGGCCATTCCACCAGATGCCGGTACGGGTATGAAAGCCAGACGATTAAGTCTTAGTCTCCCCGATGATTTCACCGTTGATGTTGCGGAACTTATGAAGGAGTTTGAATACCAACACAAATTCCTTGGTCGACACGGAAAGCATTTGGGTAAAGGTGCGACCTCCAAGGTTACATTGATGGTGCGCAAGGGTAGCCCCAGTGAGCTTTACGCTGTAAAGGAGTTCCGCTCTAAGAGTTCGTCCGAAACTATGGACGACTACGAAAAGAAGATAAAATCCGAGTATAGCATTGCGAAGAGCCTGCATCACCCGAATATCGTCGAAACCATTCGTCTATGTACTAACCACGGGCGTTGGAATCATGTGATGGAATATTGTTCAGAAGGCGATCTATTCACTTTGGTGTCGAAAAAGTACCTCAGAGATGAATCTCGCGATGGGGACCGCCTTTGCTTGTTCAAACAACTCTGCCAAGGAATCAACTACCTGCACACAAATGGTATCGCTCATCGCGATATCAAACTAGAGAATCTTCTGATCACCAAGGACAGCAAGTTGAAGATCACGGATTTCGGTGTGTCTGAAGTTTTCTCGGGGATACATCCCGGCCTACGGGAGGCTGGTGGTCAGTGCGGTATTGGCATGGGTGACGTTCGCCTCTGCAAACCCGGCATCTGCGGTAGTCTGCCGTATATTGCGCCAGAAGTTCTTAGCAAGAAATCGGAGTACGATCCTCGGGCCTTGGACGTATGGAGTTCGGCAGTCGTTATGGTCTATCTCATTTTCAACGCCAGTCTTTGGGAGAAGGCACAAGATGGGTTGACGACCCCAACACAAACGACTTACAATACTCTCGTTGCCGCCTGGGAAAAGGTAGAAGCAAAGAAGGAAGCCAAGCCTGAAGAAACCAAGGATGCCTACCCCAAAGTCCCCGCTTTTGAAATGTTCGTCAAACCCGTGGCTCTTCGCCGCCTTCTACTCAATATGCTCAACCCCAATCCGGCAAAGCGCATCACGATGCACGATGTAATTACGAATAGGTGGATGAAGAGCGTGGAATGCTGCCAGTTGGAGAGCTACGAGGACCCCGTTAAGTTCATCGATGCTTCCAAGAAGGATTGCATGAAGTCCAGTACCGGAAAGATCTTCTGTCACAACCATCTGCCACCTTTAAGCACTGGACACGGGCTACCGCCAATGCCCGGTAAACCTGGCTACTAAGAGGAAGGCCAAACACGTATTTAATACCCCCAGCATAGAGGTTTCACAATAATTTTCCTTTGTTACGCATGAGGTTCAGGTTATGATTCGATCCACCGGCGTTTTATGGTGATATCCCAGGTATTAGGGAAGGTGGCATGGGGTTTCTCATGGCGATTTGCATTTCCAGCCATGGTCGTGGATCATATAAAGTATTGGTGCCAACACCCGTACATACAATTTTCGTTTCTTCGGTTAAGTTGTGTTCTCAGCACGCGTCATTGGGGGGTTGCTAGACAATTGTATTCACGGCTACTAGCATGAGCATACAGGAAGGCGATATCACAACTGGTGAGCCCCAAAAAGAAGATTGGGTGGTAATTGCACGAGGCTAGTTGTAGCCTCGTGTGTTTTTCAAAGCAAATATTCACCTGGTGAAAGACGATAACCTCAGCATATGCCTGCTACTTTTGAAGAAGTAGACATGGGGATTAATCGCTTGTGTCCATAGAGATTAGTCAACTGCGGTCTTTTTTTTTTCTGCAGTTAGACAATTCAGAATGCGAAGATGTTAACAAATAATACCTTGGTGCTATAGTATAATTGTGACTGTAAATCTAAATGTACTCTAACCTAATGGTTAAACATGCCCATATTGGCATAGTATGCTGGCTAGAATTCGATGTGTCCATGTATTGTCCCTAGCACAACAAGGCACAGAGCATTAGGTGGCGTAATTGGTGTTGGTCAGATACACCAATTACGCCACTATCAAGCACGACACGGTGTCGTGCTTCATCGCCAGAGACAAAATCTTTAATTAGTAACATAAGCACATTTCATGAAGTACATAAAAGAAAATAATTGCACAAGCATGTAGAAATTTCTCGACACGAATTGCACGTTGTCGGAGAATTATTCGTGATAAGAGTTGATCTCATGGTGCCCAAAAGGTTGAGGATCTTGAAATTGTCTTTAGATCTAACGCATGCATATTTCCAAAAAGAGAACCAAAAGAAAAAGAAAAAGAAAAAACCAGCTCGGCATATCGGCACCGGCGTCTTGTGGTGATTAACGAACTGGATTGATCAGCAACTACAGCACATGCAACGGTTTTTAGCACTAGTGGTGATTTCGTGTGTAAGTTAATATATGTGTGTATTCCCGGGAGTATGGATTTCCAATGAGTGCTAACTATAGTTCATCAATCTTCATCGGTCTTTCTTCCAATGAATCCTTTATCCTTAGGCTTACAATTGCCTTAATTACCCTTCCGAGCTCTTTAGCGTTGTAGCCAAGGGAAAACAAGCCTTTTCGCAAATGCAGGTGCTGCAGCATGCATCTTCCTTGCTTGCTTCCTTTTTACTTCTATTAAGAGTAAGTACTGTACTTACGTAGAGTACTCATGTACCTAGATACTATGGAAGAAATAACTGGACCCTGGGCGAACTTTCAATGGACCAATAATATTGCTCCATTTCCCATTACTTCCGGATATGGTAATCCACAGGTAGGTCGTCAGGGCGGGGCTGCACTAAGTTAGACGTGTACTACCACGTGTAGAGTAGGTGCGAAAAAGCTTGAACTTTCAATGTTACTACAGATTATAATGGTACTGTACCTTGGGAGGGCAGGTACATTCAATATTCATTTCCTACCTGCATAGGTGCACTTTCATTTTCTTTACTTCTTCACCACAACTTGATTCAGTTGCCTGCCGCCGGCACAAGCTTATCCCAAATTTTTACAGTAATGTTGATTTTGCGGTGAGCCTGTTCTAGAGGCATCTGACACTATACACAAAGTAATTCATCTACCAAAACTTGATGAGAATCAAAGAACATTGATCACCATCAATTCATCAATCCATCAATTACGGGCCTATTCATCGTATCCCTCGCCGCTTCGGTGCCGGTGACCATGTAAGCAAACCCCGGGTAACGTCTACGATAAACAATTACATTACTTCGAAACCACCTAGCCAATACGGCTAGAGCTAGATTGTTATTTCGTTTCGTTTTGTTCTATTATCCCTTTCCCGCGCTTGTTGCCGCTTTTGCCGCATGGCTGTCGCTCTTCTCTTTGTTATTAGTAGCGGCGGGGGCCAGCTTCGTCTGATTCGTGCCCGCCGTGATGATGGGATTTCACCTACAGCTGCAAGTTCGAGGATCTGATGAATGGGGGATTTTTACGGTCTTAGAATTTGCAAGTACCTACCAACTTGCCTGCCTGCTTACCTACCAGCCCGCGTTTCAAATAAGCAAAAATCGGCGATCCGTCGCGATCAGGATGAACGGCTTACTTTTTTCCTTTCTTATGCTAGCATGTTACCTAGGTAGCTGCCAACCTACCTACATGGCATTGCAGCTCGTCTCATCCGCCCATTAATCAGATGAATCTGCCATCAGAGTATCATCGCGAGAAAAGAAGGAAATATCCAGACCTCCTGAACCAGGGCCGCAGCTTTCCTTCGGCAGTGATCATTCGTACAGTTTTTAACATGGATGAAATTTCAATTGATTGCATCGCTTCCACTTGCGTGGGGGGCTGAAGTTGGTCATAGGGATCCATGCCGGCGTCTTGCTCCGGCTTTTCAGAAATTGGACTAGTACGTCCTTTTTTCGCTACTAGGCTTCGGTTCTACCACAACGGTACTGTGGTACTGTTAGCTTAGTGGCAGAAGGATGCATAGCAGCTGACGGACCCTACGCAGGGATGGGTATCGATCACCTTTCGTCGGACAGGATAAACCAGGCAGACTTGTCTGCCGTCACACGCACACGTTTTAACGAGGTACATAGGGTCCCCCTACATACGTAGCGTACTATGCGACGGAAGTCGCCCTAGGACATGTATATCGTGTCGTCACAGTACGCTACAGTGTAGTTCGGCCCTGACCCGTGGCAAGACGTCGCCTGTGCCAAGGCGACGTTACGACAATGGGAAAGAACGCCAAACAAGAACCTCTTGGCTTTATCAGATTCCCCATCTTCCCCCGGATCCCCAGAAATCTTAAATGCCCAGCCTGCACGACGAGCCTCTGGCGAGATATCGTCTCCCTTGGCATCTCTCTGCCAAGGGAGCCGCATCTCGAAGCAGTAGTGACCAGCACAGTACGTAGAACTACCTACGTAATTACATGACATGCATACCACGGTTATGGCCCTACCTAAGCTGCAAAGAAGGCTAGATCATGAGATAGAAGGCTTGCCGGAAAGAAATCAATAAGCCGATACGGGGAATAGATCTGCTTGCTTCCCGGCTTCTTTTGCTGCGGGATTTCACCACAGATGCCGTTAGATGCGTGAGATCTTCGGCCCTTCGATAAGCGTGGCGAAAGAACCGGCGTGAGTAAGAGCAAATGATTTAGTGGAAAGCGGTGAGTGTGCCACATTTCCTAGGTCGTATGTACGGGATCTTCTAGCTGAATTGGGGAATGTCCTACCGAAGTCTTCGATACTTTCTCGACTTTTGTTACCGGAACCCCTATTACACCACCACATTACCCGACCTATACAACTCTTACCACACTCGGTCATTATCATAGCCCTTGCCTGTCCTCGGCTCTTACCGCCTGAGTTATAATAGTCTGAAATGATTGGACTGAGCTATTATCATCAAATCCCTTAAAATCATTTCTTTCTTCAGGAAGGACGAAAGGAAGGATTGGCCGAATGGGTGTCATGCGATACGGTATCGATGCTGTGTTGAGTACGTTTATGTCAATGTCGGTGTGTGACATGATATATCGACTTTTTCTGTTTCGAGCCGAACGCATCGGGGGTTTATTAGTTTTGGGGGGCTGTTCTTTTTTCTTCTCGACTAATGGGTAAGTATTTTACCACACGCCTAGCCCCTTCCCCGATGGCCCATACGATGCTATGTCACCCTATGCAGCGTTACCATACCACCGGCTACAGGTATCAGAAGGATGTACGTACCTACCCATCTGCATACATTGCATTGCATGGCGCCTACAGGTACCTTTCTATATGCCCGACCAGATATAGATATATACCGGTAAATATCACGCACACTCCCTACGTAAGTGGTATCGTACTCTACCCCCCCTCCATCCCCCTATATGCCGCGTAACCTTTTACCGTTGCACACGAAAAAGCTTGTTCTATCTTGGCTATTGATCCGTGACGCTGGACCGGTCCTCTGGCTTTCGCCTCGCTACCCGCCCTATCAATCCTGCCTAACACGGGGGTGCGTTATTCGGGGGTCGAGACCGTGGGACACCGTCCGGCGTTACTCGGTGCCACGGTGCATCGATACCTACCTACGTGGTTTATCTCCCGTGTGTCTGGATGCTCTTCGCTGGACTCACGATTGCCAGTGGTTTGCCTCGGACTCGCTTTCGTCGACGGCGAGGTGTTTGCGTTGATCCAAGGTTGGGCTTGGACGGGGTCGGTAGATGGTGTTAGGTGGGAGGTAAGGAAGGTGCGCGGGCAAATATTTTGGGGGCAGCAGATGATTATGACGCACAGGTGCTACGCTCTGGTGACAAGTCGGGATTATTCGCCTCACGTGCTGGGGGGTTTCGTGAGAGGCCGGGAAAAGAGGCCCACGGTGAAGGCCCGGAAGAGGAGAATCCGGGATTTTCCAGTGTTGTACCCGCGGGATATGGAGATTTTCCGGGTAGGGCCCGGGATGCATCGTAGATTGAGGCGTGAATACGAGATTTGTGTCGTTGCTTCATTTCGTCATGGTGCTTGTGAGGAGAGAACTTGGGGGGGAGCTTGTGAATATGTGATTACATGAGTCTGGCTACACCTTCCCTGACGATGCCGACTTGACCCGGCGGTGCTCGGGTGATGTCGGGGGTTCCGACTGGTGCCGGATCCTTCCGGTCAGGAGCTCCTTCCGAGACGTCCCGGGAGGATCTTACTTCCTTCCTGAGATGACGTCGGGGACGCAGCAGCGGGGAAGTCGCGAGTGAGTATACGGACCCGGGATGCGGAGGGCAGTGACGTCGGGCTGTAGGCGGCTCCTTCCCCGTGTCGGGATTTCACGCTTCGTTCCTTCCAAGTTTCTCGCGAATATGTATGAGTATCCCACTCATCGCGCCTTTCCACCGGCAAGAAGTTGTCATGGTTGAAATAGAAGGTGTTTACAACCTCGATTATTACCTAGGTAGTTTTCTATATACTAATCACTAAAACTTACGTTCGAATTACTAACCCCCTGAATCAGGACATCTGCGGTGAGAGTCAATGAAGCCACGTGAATACCGTTCCATGGCGAGAATTGCAAGATATACAGCTCCATGGCAACCCGGGGACAATAGTCGAGAAATACGGTAGTGGAATTCAGATCTGGACTTTTCGTTGGGTTGAACATTTGACATTTTGCCTCAACATATGGGCAGCTTGGCTAACTACGTGAACTAGACGTTCGTTTGGCTCTATGGCTATATCATATCTGTCTTCACTGTTCGTGACGTTCAGACGACCCACCCACCCACTTCCTTGCCCATTGATATTAAGGAGGTTTCTGCTGAAGTCGTTTAGGTCCTGAGAAAGGATAGTGAGTACGCCCAACGAAATTTAGATGGACTCGACTCATGTTGAGCCATGTTGAGCCAGCTTACAATATTATGACCCCTTGCGCACCAAAGTTAACTATGCAAAATGTATTGTGTCTCGTATATCCGTGGCTTCGGAGGTCAAGCCGCCCTCAGGCACCGCCTTGATAGCAACATTATTGCTAGGACCGGAACCGAGCTCACCATGATCAGGCTCCCGGCCATAATACAGGGCTTGGATTGTTTACCTTATCTTTATGAACTTACGTCAACTCATCGGTAGAAGCGACCTAGCGGAAGCCCAGCTTGCTAGAAGAGCCTTGCCTTCTCTATTTAGAGTTATTCTTGTGATAGCTTCCACAGGGCTTTCTAGTATCCCATGCATTGTCCCTCTTGCCCGTATGGGTGAGGTATCCGTTACGTTTGTATGGTCGATAAACCATCATGATTTCGGTTCCTTTTTGGACTTTTATTTACCATGTTGCTGGTGGAAATTTACCTACTCTTTCCCCTGTGTCTTGTAGTGAGCTAGTGAGCTGTGTAAGTTTCTGACAGGAACCACGCTAGATATGTAGTAGAAGTCAAACCTCCGGCGCACGAAGTGGATTTATCGACCAACTCTTATGAAGTCTAGAGCCTCCTAGCTTGGCGTTTTCCCAATTTCTGCACTCTATTCGGTGCTACTCATAGTGGATCCGAGCAAACTGGCCCCGTCAACCGAAAATTTTTTTCCTCCGCTCTGATAATCAGCATACTTCTACTCCGTTAATCTCACGATCATCATCACAACCCTAAACAGCAACAGCGAAGGTCGCATAGCTCAGTTGGTTAGAGCACCGTACTAATAATGCGGGGGTCGAGAGTTCGAGCCTCTTTGTGACCAAGAATTTCCTTTTTGATGTTTTTTTGATGATTTTTTCAAGTCCTCTCGGAGGTCCGACATGTGTCGGGAGCATCGACCGGTGGTGATGCATTTTTTTTTTCCCTTTGGCTTTCAAGGTTTCCATAGACTATTTTCACGGCTTCGCTAAGGGCTTTTATATCGGGATCATGTTTTCTACTGGTTTGCTTATGACTCGAGGATTCGTAGCATGGTTAACGTACTACGGTACGTCGGCATGAGCCTGCACGAAAGTAGCCTCAATATTATAAGAGAAGTCAGAGATTTCTAATGAAATACTTTCGCTACAATGAAAATAAACCTGCGACATTATCTACTAGGTTAATTGATAGGTGCGAAAGTTGTACAATATGGTAGAGCTTGACTAGCTAGGTATTCGACGATGTCGTTATCGTACGGAAGGGTTGATTGATATAACACTGCCAAGTTAGCAGGTATTGATTCTACGACGACAAGAAAGTGAAAGAGGCATCTTAAAGTTGATGTGAAACTCAATAAAACATTTAAAGAACAATCGATTACTAAGGTTGTGATAACGGCATTAGGTGCGTCGAATTCGTGGTGGATTTATTTTTGAAGAAAAAGGTTATAATGTATAAAAAGTTGCGAAATAATCATACATCAGCATCTCGTTCGACGGGGTATGAAGGGCTCAATGGTCTAGTGGTAGGATACTCGCTTCGGGTTAATTCCCATCCTTGAAATGAGGGTACCTCTTGTGAGTGGTCCCGGGTTCAAATCCCGGTTGAGCCCCAATTTTTGCTTTTTTACTTTTTTCTTTAGTTTAGTATTCAACTCGTGCTACACTGTCCTTCAATGGTTTTTTTTCCCACTCACTGCGTAGATTAATAATTTTCTAATTGAAGCGGCACCGCGTATAACTGGCTGCGCGGAGTTATAGCGCATGTATTTCTGGCATGGACTGCTTGATGTTCTTTCGATTTAGAGCTCATCCCCATATGAGACTGGGAAATTGGGTGCAAACTGGATGATCAACTGGACCTAAATAATGTCTTCAACTACATCGCCATACTCGAAGCAAAATGAGATGTTTTGACGTGAAATGGTGAAGATCTAGATTTAAGACATACTCGATTGAAGAAGCTACGCCATAGTTGACATTCACAGATAACAACTCATAACTAATTACTAAATAATTCGATAAACCTGTGCCACTGCAGGTTCGTAGCATACTAATCCTCATTTAAACCATTTCCCTATCGGCATTTTATGCCTCAGAAACTATACGACGATTTACGTATCCCTCGTCCCGTCTAATCCTAGGGACCTCCTTTTCAACCTTCCCTCCCTCTATTCTCCGACGATCTCAACCCTTCCGCAAGTTTACCTATGAGTCCCGTAGCCCAACGCGCCGCCCCTCCAACCCGTCCATTATCTGCATCCTCTTCGAAACTAACCCGGCCATGCCACCAATCTAACCAATTCCCCGCCAACGCTCCCTCGGGGGCATCTAGTAGCCCAATGCTCACATCGATGAGCTCAGGCCGCCAGCGATCATGCCAGGAAACCGTGGCGCCGCAGCGGGGGCAGAACTCTCGTTGTACGCCTGGGCTGCTTTCGTAGGACTTGAGGATACCTGATGGGAGGGTGGTGAAGTCGAGTGGGATGGTGTTAAGCGTGGATGAAGGAGCGGTAGTAGGAGGGACGAAGAATATGTTACTCCGTGGTATAAACGCCCATACTTGGATCTCGAAGCCGGAAATCAATCGGCACGAGCGGCAGGCGCAAGTCCCTGCTAGATACCGGGTCAAGGTTGAATCATCTTTGCTGCGTGGACGGAGCCACCACTTTTCGTCTTGTGGGTTGGTGTATTCTTGATTCAGTGAGGTAGCATATGGTGTTATGAGATCTGGGAAATTGGAGCGCGGAAGATGACTTGATGCATCAGGGCGGGTGATGCTGAATTGGACGTTTTTGCAGTGGCAGTGCGCTTCGAGTACATCCTCACCTCCACCCTTTGCTTCTCCCTTCACCGGGCCCGGTGTGGGAAGTTCATTTCCTACGCTTTCGTGTATGAATGGAGCTAGGCCACCGTCCTTAGTTTCGGCAACGCCCGTATACCCATAGACCCTTAGCAAATCTCGGTCATCGGTTTCTATCAGCTGTCCGTCAGCTCCAACCCTTCCTGCAATGACCCCCGTGGCTACGCCCCATGATTCCCTTTCAGTAGGGGTGTGTCGTCTTCTGAAGACGTGGCAACCACAAGTACTGCAGAAGTAGTGTCGAGTAGTAACAGAATCGGTATCAGGAGACACTTCAGGATAAGCGACGAGGTTGTTGAGTAAATTTGGGACTTGGATAGGTGCATACGAAGCGCATAGTAGGCCGGTGTTGTGACGGTAATCGTAACTGTGGTCGATGCTTGTATCTTGTGGTCCTGCTGTCTTTTGTGACTCAAAGCCTATGGTCACCGTCTGCTTCGCGGCACCGCAGTGGCAGGAGATTAAAACGTTGGTAAGATCTGAAGACATCGAGGATACTTAGATGGGAGTTATCATATAACTTGGACGTATCGCGCTGGTGTCTGATATGTACAAGTAATTGTGAAGTAATTGGCATTAAAGTTGAATGCTGGTCTGCCAAATTTGTTTATATAATATCATGCAAGTCTATTACTGATGCCATTCGTCCGTAATCGGTATGCAATGCGTATATAGGAATGCCCAGAATGAGGAGTTGAGACAAGACGCCCGAATAGTGTATCAACAGTTTGGCACGGCCGGAGTTTCGGCCCGTCAAGCGTCAGCTGTCATAGTTGGAGACATAGCAACTATTCAGCTCTCGACGATCACGACGGACAACTTTGACATCGCTCCGGCAAGCTACGTTAATAATACGATTAATCACCCGATTGAAAATAGATACTGGTAGTGGAATCTTCTGATTAAAAGGAAATAGGTTGCGATCTGCAAGTATAACTGACAGTTTTATCTTCTCATGAGACAATCAAAACCAACTGGCCAGTAAGTGGGTAGGTATCCTCTTAATTTTTCTGCGTTTACAATTCCGCATTTCCCCAACATTTTTATCCCCTCCGTGATCTTCATTAGTATGGTGGTATACATAAGCCTGATAGGCACGCCCGTCCAACCCGCCAAATGCTTAAACTTCGGAAGGAACCAAACACCAGTGGGGATTTTCTTCGTCATGATTTTATAACACGGTAGGACGTGACGTCAAATTAGGAAGTGGGAGTGACGGGCCGAGATGCTTAGACTGTAGCCTCGTTGCCTTCACTGGCCGGTTTCGGAATAGATCTCTCGGCCTCCTTCTCACCGTCCTTACTCGATGATGCCTCCTTGGGAATTTCATCATCCTTGACCAACTTCTTAGTCTCCTGGTTGGCTCCCTCAACGTCCGGGTGCGGCGGTGCCACGCCCGCGGCGTCTAGCTGCTCTATCGGCACTTCTACTTCGTTGCCGTTCCCATCGACGACGCGCGTTCTCGTTTCGTACTTGGTTTTGAATTCGACCTTTCCTTCGAGCGCCTTCACCTGTTCTTCGTTGAGGAGGTTGCCGTCTTGGTCCCGGTACTCGATTCGTTCCTCCCGTCCGACCACCTTCTGACCCTGGGGCTCGAACTTGGGAGCCCCCGAGATCCCCGCCTTTGGGGAATCCTGCTTGTTTTCGACTATCGGTTGTTGGGCTGGTGGCTGGTCGTTGGCTACAGCGGCTTGGGATGTTTGAGTGATCTGGCTTGGAACCGCACCTAGTCCCGAGTAGGCATCGTACTAAATAGATAATCCACGTTAGCTTATTGTATATTTTATGATTTGAAAGATATTTCAGTGCTTTATATCCGTATCCAATAGTCCGAATAGGGACAAGAACATACGAGTATCATTCCGTCTCAACCTCGTCCTCTTGACGGCATGCCTTGGGGGGGAACACTCACGCTATCAAGGAAAGTATTGCAATCCCAGTCCCAGGTGCCAAATAACTTCACACGGTTACATTCGTTCTTCGTCCAAGCGTTTCCGTAGGCGAGAGGCGAATAGAGGGCAAAAACAACGGCGGAAATAGCTAGTAGTGCAATCACACCAGCCTTATTGATAATGGGATTGTTCTTGATGTTAAAGACGGAGAATCGAGCGGTAGCAAAGTCAAAGATTTGGCAGAACGCCATAACGGCAAAAGTGAGAGCGGGGAAGTAGTGGTGCAAGAAGAGCTGACGCTGCATCAGGAAGAATGGGAAGTAGTGTAGAGCCCATCCGAGTACCGAGGTTCCGATTTCGTAATCGAATCGCTTGAAAGTAGCGTTGGAGTAGTCGTTGCAGCTGCGTTGCCATCGAAGAACTGCGATACCCTTGAAGAGCACGTAGATGACTACGGCAAGAGTCGAAGTGTACCATACGATGGGGTTACCTATTAGGTAGATCTGGCGGTGGTCTTTACCCCAGAAGTTGATACCACGACGAAGAATAGGCCAGGACTCGGGACGGGAATCCCAAGCGTGAGACTCGACCAGACCAGCGTTTGTTCTCCACATGACCTTCTGTAGTTCCCAGAACTTGCCAAAGAATCCAGGGTTGACGTAGTTGACTCTCTCGGCATCATGGGCCAACTGCGGGTGCGTGTTGGACTCGATGTACCACAAACTGTTGGGAAGGGTGCCGCCCTTTGCGCATGTGACTTCCTGTTGCTCAGATGCCCAATCCGGCAGCTTGACCTTGTGAGAGAAGAGGACGCAACCAGTCATAATGTGAACGAGTCTGAACTTGGTCTGGATTGTGCGAAGACGTTCCTTAGCGATATTTCCGAGAGATTGCTTCTTAACAATTTCAACACGGAATAGATCGTTGGCGTCACCTGTGAATCCTTCGTATCCATAGGCAGAGACTTCATTTTGCCATTCGGCTTCGGAAACAGGGGGTCGAACGTCGTGAGAGTGCAGACGGCGGTGAGTAGCTAGATGATATAGTCGAATCACATCACCATCCTTGATGTAGTTCTCGGTAATGTTCTGTACAGTATCCCAAGCATGAGTTCCGTTAATAGCCTCACCATTGACATCTAATGGTTGCGTCTGGTTCTCCATTAGGAATATGTTGTTGTCGTCCTTGTGAGGGTAGAGAGTGATCTGCTGTTGCTGACTGCCAGTCGGGTACATCAAAGGATGCGAATGAAGGTACCCTCCTTGGGTGTTGACGTGTCGGATAGTGACACGGCTGCCGAAAGCAACGTCAACGGGCACATCTTGCATACCCTTATTGTTCAGGGTAGCCTGGAACTCGGAGCTCATGAATCCATCGCCGTCGCCGGGGTTGGTTAAGCAAAGGAAGTGAATGGCAAACATGGACATGTAGAAAGTAGCAGGGATGATGATTAAGCAGAAGGCGCGAGCTAGGAAGTGCTTCGCAAAGATGCGCATAGTGACAGTCTTCGTGTCACCAAGGAGCACCCACAGTTGCACGAGGGTCAACGATCCAACCCAGGCAATTGTGAAAAGACCGACCCATTTTATGCTGACAGTAATTCCCAATCCCAAGCCTGTCATGACAAGCCAGAACCACCACCCGGCATCGAAGGCTTTTGAAGGTCCCTGCTCATGTTGGTTGGTGAACGACGTGAAGGCGAGGGCGGTAAATGCGGTCGCGGCAACAAGGGGAGAGTCGAGCAGGATGAGGCGGGCTTGCGTAAGAAGACCGTTCTCTGTTACACAGGTTAGCGTGAAATTGGCTGAATGTACGAAATTAGTAGTAAACCCACCGAAGATGATGAATGCGGCACCTAGGGCAGCGGTAGCCGTACGGCAACCAACAGCCTTAAGAGTCAAGAAGATAGTCGGGACCAAGAAAATACCACAAATAGCTGGGTACAACCGCATAGCCACGTATGGGACGCCTGGTTCGAGGTAATCCTTTCCAATCTCCTTGAAGTCGAAGTTGCCGTTAAATCCAGCGAGCCATCCGAAAAGCGCAATGAGTAATTTCGCCAATGGGGGGTGAACGTCCATGAAGAATTTGCCCTTAATGTACTTGGTCGCGAAGCCACCGAAACTATAATAGGCATGTCATTAGCATTGGCCATATTTAACGTTGATAGAATTCGTTTATGAGGAGGCTTACTGGACTTCATCGAACACGACACTCGTGGGCTGGTAGATGCGGAACAATCGAACAATGGCACCGACGATAGTCAAGACTAGCATGACTTGATAGTCGGATACGGGAAGCAGGAAGATATCATTATCTTCTACACCCTCCGAAGTATAGTCATCGTGAACTTTCTTGACTTGATCCTTGGACTTCAGAGGCGTATATCCGCTTTTTGTAGGAGGCGGTTTCGCCGAACTAGACCTTGCCATATTGTGTCGAACCAAGCAGAGTGTAACTGCAATGGAAACCGGCGGGGTGGAATTGACGAAGTGGAAAATAGGAAAAAAGAGGTGTTCGTGGCCTCTTTTCGACTAGTCGCGCTTGAAGTAGGGAGGAGTTTGCGCTACGCCACACAAGTGTCACACAGTAGAATGAAAATCAATCTGATTTAACGAGAGTCAAGAAGTAGAACGGATCATTACAAGAAGACAATAGGATAACGGAAAATCCCATTCATCAAAGAAAAAAATCAGGAAAAGATAGAAGAATTGGGCTTATTCCCCCCTTTAGTCGCAATGCGGCGGAATTGGGAATAGGTGAAAGGGCTGAAGGGGGTTTAAAGGGGTTCGTGGGAAAGAATACGGCGTCAGAATTTATTTTTTTGAGCTTCTTTCCCATGTTCCTCGCAACCTTCAGAACTAAGCCTAAGGAAGTTGCATGGGTTATCCGCGTAATCTTTTTGATGCTACAGTGGCCTTATCCGGTTTGGTGGATTAGCGCAGGGGGGGTTACGTTCTAGCGGTTCTAGCTGTTGAGGTCCAGTAAAAAGACTTCAGCTGCACATGTCGGACCCCATTTAATGTATTTATTCGCTACAACCGCCTCGGATCCTGGCTGTCACGCTAAGAAAGTGACCTAACACGAGTTGAGCTTGCGCTGTACAGCTTTCTTTGCCCCGCTCTTCCGTAATTGAATTGATTAAATGTACATTCATACGTGTATATCATGCGATATGATGCCAATATTCCATTCCAAAAAAGCGATAAGAAAAGTTGTTGGTATTCCACAAGAAAATTAATAATCGTCAAGTTTTCAAGCAGGATTAAATTGATATATTGTCGCATTTATACGGAGACTTGAACTTTTTTATTCAAAAGATATTCATATCAAACAGTAAACAACGGTACTAAAAATCAGTTTAAGTGTGTCAAGCTGCGACTAAACTTACTTGATTGGTCAAAGTCACGGATTATCTATTTAATCCGATTACGGTATCTCTGAATTGGAACTGATCTTGACGATAATTTTGTCGGAGCTCTTTCGCTGCGACATCATCGCAAAATCACAACCAATACCAGACTTCCTCCCTTGTTGCAGCCTCCACTCCACTCAACCTGCGTCCACATCCACATATCAAGAGGGAGGCTCTAACATCGCCAACAAAATGGCCGCCAATACTAATGGTGATGCAGCTGCTGTTTTGGATGACATTAAGCCCCCTCAAGGCATTGTTCTGCCACCAAAAGAATTCCGAAGTGAGTCCATTGCCACCCTTCTTTTAATCGCGTCGCGTCTAGCTAAACTATCTCAAGCCGTCCTCGAGAAGACTGCCGGTTTCGTTGCCCGCAACGGTATCACATTTGAAGATCGCGTTCGAGAGAAAGAAAAACACAATCCTAAATTTAGTTTCCTTAGCAATGCCGACCCCTACAATCCTTATTACCTATGGCGACTGAGCGAAATCAAAGAAGGTCGCGGCACGGCTGTCGCCGCAGGACGAGTAGGCGAGGCTGCTGTTGTTGTTGAGGAGAAACCTGAAGGCCCCCCTAAGCCTCCGGACTTCCAATTCTCCGCGCGTATGCCCAACATTAGCGCCCAGGATCTTGAGGTTGTGAAACTGACCGCTCTGTTTGTTGCAAAGAATGGCAGGCAGTTCATGACCGCTTTATCCCAACGCGAGGCTGGGAATTACCAGTTTGATTTCCTCAGACCAAACCACAGTCTTCACAATTTCTTCCAGCATCTCATCGATCAATACTCCATGCTTATAAAAGCTGGTGGTATCGGTGGCGAAGGAGGTAAAGTCCAGCAAGAGCGAGTCGCCGAGCTTCAGCATAACGTCGAGGACAAGTTCCATATTTTAAGCCGTGCTAAACAAAGGGCTGAATGGTTACAGCATCAAGAGGACGAGAAGCAGAAGAAAGAGGAGGAGGAAGAGAAGGAACGATTGACATATGCGCAGATCGACTGGCACGATTTTGTGGTTGTCGAGACCGTCGTCTTTACCGAGGCCGATGACCAAGCGAACCTTCCTCCACCAACATCTCTTTCTGAGTTACAATATGCTTCTCTTGAACAGAAGGCTAAGATTTCCGTCAGTGCTAACCTACGTATTGAGGAAGCCATGCCTACGGATGACGACAATGCCTATAATGGGTACGGAGCACCCAATTACAACCTTCCTCACCATCCTGCGCAGGCAGCCCATCCATCCACCTCGACGCCTCCTCAAGCTGCATACCAGATGGCACCTCCGCCACGCCCCAACGGCGCCCAAGAAGACGAAGAGACCCAACGAATACGGGAGAGAGAAGAAGCTCGGTTACGTATGCAGCACGCTCAAGCCGAGGCCAAGGGTGGTGCCGCTCCGATGAAGATCAAAGAAAACTACGTACCCCGTGCTGCTGCACGAGCGGCTAACCGACAAGGAACTCAAATGGCCCTATGCCCTAATTGTCATCAGCAGATTCCAATGAACGAATTAGAAGCGCACATGAGGATCGAGTTACTGGACCCACAATGGAAGGAGCAAAAAGCGAAGGCAGAATCGCGATATGCGACTACGAATTTGTCGCATGCTGACGTTGCCAACAATCTAAAACGATTCGCAAGCCAGCGAGGCGACTTATTCGACGGCGTCACTGGACAGCCCATCTCAGAAGAAGAAATGGCAAGAAGGAAACGAGCCGCATTAAACAGCTTTGATGGCAATCCTGAAGGCAGGAACCAAGCACACATAAACCATATGCAGAATGTGAACGTCGACGAACAGATTGCCCGAATCCATCAAAGATTCGCGAAGGACAAATAAGACTACTAGGACTTGGTGACAAGGGCGGTTTCACCGCTCAACACTCATTACACTGAAGAAGTAATCCATGGCTAAGCGATCGTGAAGGGAGGATTTTATGGACGAGCCACATATCGCCGTTGTGAATCTTTACTGAGCTTACCAGGCTCTCTTGGGCCTGGAGAAGGGTTAGGAAAATGGGATCAACCAAAGGCTGAACAGGTAAACAAAACCCAATAAAAATAGTTCTTATCTGTATTCACCTGCTCATACTTTAATACAGCTCTGTGTTTCCGGATCCCACTGGTTCCTTCCTACGTCGAGGTCACGCACTATTGTGCGGATGCAGTAGAGGTCCCCCTTTTATTGTGAATATGAATCATGAGTAAACTTCATGACGTAAGATACTGATTTAGATGGGTTGACTAGAGTTTGTATAACATATACCTGGCGTGCCAAGGCCCTGATGGGAGCGTTATGCATTTGTACGACTGTAGACTTTTAAATGGTGGGATATAGTATAGGTGGGTGGTATTGGGCTGGCTTAAAACATGATACCAAAAGGGAGGTCATAATCATTATCAGATTAAAAAAGCATACCAAATACACGTAATTACGCAGACAGTGGTTGATCCGTATCATATTGTATTCTTACAACAATCTCCGATGCAAGATCGTGCTATTGCGAGCTCCTATCTAAGTCCTCTAACCCTATTCCTACTCATCGCTATCATCGTCGGATTCTTCCTCGGGCGCTATATTCTCAACAATCAGATTTCCCGACCTTCCGATCGTAGCAGCTAGCGTCGCCGATTCATCAGGCTCGTAGACTACTCGCGGTAGAGGCGACGCGATGCGGAATTTATACTCGTGCTCGTAGCCTTCTGGTTCTACTTTTTCCAGATCTAAATCCCCTGATTGTAGCAAATCATAGCACTCTACAAAAGCATATAGCTCTTCCGTAGTGCTGTCCTTGGCAAATCTACGTACTACCCTTCCTGCGGGTCCGTCGTCCGGCATCTTCAACGCGAGACGCACAACGTCCTTAGCACTTGCCTCGGGCTCTGGCGCGATATTCGCTGCGCGCCAGCGCTTCCATTGCTCACGTAACCGGGCCTTGCGCTCCGCTGCCTCAGCTTCTTCTATAGCTCTCTTCTCCGCTTCCTTAGCGGCTGCCTCTGCCTCACGGCGTTGGCGTGCGCGTTCACGGTCTTTGGCTAGTGAGCGCTCGTACGCCGAATCCTGCTCCGTGCGTAGGTTCCTCGCAACTTCTTGGGCGGCACGCTCGGCGCGGGCACCCGCTAGATCGGGGGCGTATTTCGCGAGGGCGGTTTGTAGTTCTGCTACGTATGCAGGACCTGGGAGGGGTCCGGAGAGTCGCTTGACGATGCTCATGCGTGTACTTCCCTCCTTAGGAGTCAGGCATACGAGGCATGAGAAGGGGTACTTGGTACAGTTGTACTCGGCGGCCACTTGGAAAGCCTCGGAGTCGAGGACATTGCCGCCCCATAGGACGATATTATTTGCTGGGTCGTTAATAAAAGCGACGACGTCGGGGGAGAGGAGGGTTTCTCGTGTGAAGGACTCGGTGTCGTCATGTTCGGGTGACATAAGCACGATCAGAAGGAACTTAAGCTCCTTCTTAGCTAGGTCAAGGGCTTGCGCGAAACCACCTTCGAAGAAAGGTAGGTTGTTTGGTCCGTATTCTTCGTCAAATTCTCGCTTGAAGCGTGCGGCTGTGTCGCGTGGCATCAGCATGCGCCGTCCCATCGTGCCTTTCCATCCGCTTGTCATACTCGTTGTTATTGCTCGGGGTCGTATCGATGCCGGGAGGAAGGCGAATATATACATAAATGTACGGAAGATCGTAGAAAGAGCCCTGTACCCGAAGTTGAAGGGGGCGAATAGGATGGCTAGGAGGAGTGGCGGGCGATGGGTGGTTTGAGGTTGAGGCACGATCCTTGGAGCGGGGTCTGGTCTTGATCGTGGTAACGAACGACCTAGAGGCCGCGAGGCTGCTAGACTTTCTTGTAGATTCTCGTGTCTTGCTGCTTGTCTCGGGATGTGGTCTTGAGCGGCTATAGCTTCAGCAACGGGGTCGGGACCCTCGCCGTCAAAGAACTTAGCTATTGCTATTTGGACATTCCATTGTGACCGCTCTAATAATGGCACTGCATCCTTCACATCTTGCGCCGTGACCTGTGTATATTGTTCCAGAGCAGCTTGTTGGTCCGGCGTGAGATGCCCTATATCGACATTACCGTTACCCGCCATCTTGTTGGTGTACGTGACCAGCTTATGAAGAATGTGGGTAGGTAGCTAGCTATTAGCTCCCCATACGTCATATGGAGTAGAGCTCGGGAAGATGTCGTTGGTGTCGCCTTGTATGAGCTAGGTGCCCTATACAAACTCGGACCTTATATGTAATTCTAAATTCAGCCTTGAAGATCGGATCCCGTGTTACGTAGCACCCTCTAGAAAATAGACCGTATTAAAACAAGTGTAGTATGTCACCAGCTGTGAGTTCCTGAACGGAAAGTTGAGACGAAGCTGAACAACGTGTCAGAAGTGAAGAAAGCTGTTGAGGATTCCGTGTTCAGATGGTAGGATCCATTAGTTGGTTAAGTTGGAAAGATGGCAAGCAGGCAGTTAGTTCGGTGCATAAAATAATTGAGTTGATGGCGTCGGAGGTGACGACAGATGGCGACCGGAGAATGTCTCAATCTGTTTCCGACTTTGGATTGTTAAATCGAATTAAGTTTGCCAAGTTGGGAAAGCTGATACCTTTTAAAGTTTAGCTTCAGCGGTGCTACCGACTATCATCTTTAAACTCTAAACTATTAGAGTATATGCTTATGCTCTGATTGGGTTAGTACCACGTAGACCGATCCATGTATGATATATAAACCCACGCCTAGGTATCGATATATATAGGTCCCGCGCTAAACAAATTCCAATTGATAGTTCAAGGCTGAGAAAGAGGAAATCTTGGCGTTAGACGTCGGAACCTATCAGATATTATTTTCTGATTAGTCATTAGTCGCCGTCATCCCACTACAACTTCAGTGGACTTTCTTCTACTGACGTGCTGATACACGCCCACATTCTCTCTTTATGTCCTTATCGCCAGCCTCACCCTCCCCTCCTTGAGGTTCAATTGATACACTAAATCCAAAACATTTACCATCCGAAAATTTATTGCGCGTATTTTTTGTTTTCCGGGCGGAGTCGCGCCCTCTCTGGCCAGAAAAAATGGGAGCGCTTTGAGGAGTTCAGTAGGTGTCCTCGTATTCTGCCACTCCCTTCCTCACTCTTTTTTTTCTTGTCAGTATGATCATCTGGCCTGACAATTTGCTCTGCTAAGGAGTAGTATTGATAGGGGCTGCATATACTCTCCTCCTGGCCTGACGTCGCGATCGCTCCATGACGAAAACACGAGAATCCATACATTCCACCCAATTCAAATGGCGAATACGCGCTTCGGCACCGCCGACAGAGGGAGGCAGATGGCCTCCCCCCGACCTAAGACGCGTGGTAAGCAGTACCTACCTACAGATACCGGTATTGACATGACGCGAATGTCAGTTCTCTAACATTTCGACTTGCGCCTGCTTAGATTCTAAAGATACCCTCTGTCGAAACGTCCTGATATATGGTCACTGCCGCTACGAAGATCAAGGATGTGCCTTCAATCACGATAAGATCTCTACTAATTCAATTGATGGGTAAGTTCTTTCATTTTCTGGTTTTAGTTCCTCGGCGTTCCGTCCCGCGAAAACCTACTCGTATTGCGATTCCATCCGAAGATACCCACGAGAGACCCAAGTAGCCTATATAGAATCTGTGAAATTCGACCGGAGCACGTGGCGACATAAGTCAATAAAAATAGTCGTTCACGATTCGGAACAGCTGGAGTGGCCAGGTGTATGTTCTTCTGGTTCCGTGCAATCGTCCTTAAGATTATACGAAAGTCCCTATCGCGTTGGATCATCCCAACAATGCCGGATCATACGGGTGAAAATGACCCCTCACCCGATAACGGAGAAGAGCAAGTGAAGCAAGATGACAACAAGCAAAGCGAAGACATAGATGATGAGAGTCACAATTCTCAATCGGTACATGAATCTCTAGCCTCGTCTATGTCTCCTGTACTGGATTCATGGCCCCTAACAGACTCGATTTCTCCGGAATCTTTTCTACAAAAACTTGGACGCCGCCTGGCTGGTAAACTCTATCCGTTCAATACCGTCCAATTGGGTAGCTCACTGCCCCTTGATCCTACGTTTAAAGAGGACCAGACCGATATGTTTTGCGTTTCTGAATATGGGGGTGATCCCGTCTCACACAATAACAACGAGTCCAGCCCAGGAACACCGACCGGATTTGACCGATTTCATTCTACACCTCAAAGTGACCTTACTAATACCCATTCTAGTGGCAGCGCAAAGAAATCCCTAAATGTCGATTCGCCGTCATTTACTCCTACTCAACTCGGGGGTAAAAAATCCAATTTTTCAACCAATGCCACCCCTTTTACTCCTCGAGGGGCTGCTACAGGTGAGGCAACTCATATTCACATGTCGCATTGTGTGCTCACAGCGCGGCCAGCTACAACAACCGCCCTACAACAAGACAATGGGGCCTCGTTATATAAATCAGCTCAGTTTGCTGACTTTGCTCCTCAAAATTATGATTTGAATACCACGGTAAGTACTTTAACGATCATCGTCATCAACTGTAATCATTAACGAGATCCAGACGGCTACCAATGGTTCAGATAACGGATCTCTCGGTTATGATCCATTTACCATGTCTAGTGTCAGCCAAGCGCTGCCATCGGCGCAATACAACCCTTACGCCGAAGATCATAATGCCCTAGCTGGAGCCGGAGCATCCTATTTCACAGCCCAGAACTCTTACACAGCTCCCTCTCAACCAGTAGGAACTCAATACCCTTGTTATCATAAGTTTTCATCTAATTGGTACCAGCTTCAATATCACCTTTACTATCCTATCACTTCTATAAGGGAAAATTTGCAGCCTTACCAGCGGCAGTTATACGACTTATTCCTTCCGGAGTCTTTGAGGGAAGATCTTCAAAAGAAGTCCGAGGCTACTAGACAGGTTCTTCCAAACCAGCCCGGAGTACAGTTGCCCAACCTCCAGCACTATCACTCTCTTGTGCCGTTAGATACGAAGATTCGAAGCACAACTAGTACTTTCGGCCTTCCTAGCTGGGTATTTAAGGCGACTTCGCGTAAAAATGGCAACACATTCTGCTTGAGACGAATTGAAGGTACGTTCTACAACTCATTTAGGTAGAATTCCAGCTAAATAACAGACAGGGTTTCGTCTCACAAATGAGGAAGCCATTAAAGCGGTGAACTCGTGGAAGAAGATTATACATCCTAATATAGTCACCACCATTGAAGCATTCACCACAAGGGATTTTAATGATAGCTCCCTTGTATTTGTGCATAGTTATCATCCACTATCAAAGACACTAGCAGAGCTTTACTTTCCTAATAACCGTTACGGTCGCCCAACAGCCGTGCCGGAGAAGGTGTTGTGGAGCTATTTAGTCCAGCTTGCTAGTGCTATCAAGGCGATTCACAAGGCTAAGCTTGCTGCCAGGTGTATCGATATTAGCAAGGTGATCTTGACGGACAAGAATCGCGTCAGGCTCAGTGCATGCTCGATTTTAGACGTACTTCACTTTGAGGTTCCGCGACGAGTTGAGGAATTGCAACAAGAGGATTTCCTTGGTCTGGGACGACTCATTTTAAGCATTGCGACCAATACGCCACCTCGAAATCTCGGCGACCTACGAGTACCCTTAGAACAATTAAGTAGGGCATATTCCCCGGAATTGAGGGAAAGAATAACTTGGCTACTCAGCCCGCCACAAAATTTGTCTGGCAAGACAGCAGAGCATTTGGTATATGATCTTGCTCAGCATGCCGACGATGTATTAGTTGCCGCGTTCAACGTAGAAGACGAAGCCATTACTCATTTAGGGAGGGAGCTTGAGAACGGACGACTAGTACGATTGATGGCGAAATTGGGTTCCATCAACGAGCGACCGGAATTCGACAATGATCCCAATTGGGCAGAAACCTCCGAACGGTATACTCTGAAGTTGTTTCGAGACTACGTCTTCCACCAAGTCGACGCCCAAGGCAACCCGGTTGTAGATTTAGGGCACATCATTAGCTGTTTGAATAAGCTAGATGCTGGTATTGATGAGAAGATTTACCTTACGAGTAGGGATCACCAGTCAACATTTGTAGTTTCATATAAGGAGTTGAAGAAGCAGGCCCAGGGTGCATTTAACGACCTATTCAAAGCAAGCAACAAACCGCAGACAGGACGAGGCTACTAGAAGCAGCGCGTCCCCAATGGTTCAGAGGATGTTGAACCCCCGCGGAAACCAAGGAAAGATCAGTCTGATAGATTCAGATCAAAGAGGCACTCTAGGATGGGCAACGAATGGGCGAATCATGACACACGGCAACATAATTCCGAATCGGAGGAAACAAAAAGACTCGGACAGAAGACTTTGCTCCGAGGGGATATCCGAAACAAAACACGATAGCTTTGGACATCTGCGACGGAACTCACCCAGAAGACATAATGATTCAACAACCGACAAGGCGAGAGAAAGTTACCGCTCGAATTCGGGGGACGAAATAATGAAGCAACTGTTAGCAACGACGCGAAGACTTTTCCACGCGATAGCAATGGATCACTACCTATCAAAGTCCTTTTAGGGGATTAATCAACCTGACCGAGATATCATAACCATAACCAGACAGAACACAAATACTGCATTGGACTATATTTGTGTATGCTGATCAGTTGAATACTGTCGATTCTCCGAGAGTTGCATTATAGCATTCTCTTTTCAGGCACTTTACCTACCTGGAGATTAGTTCGGTTGCGAACTCTTTTATCGCCAGGAGCAGGTTGGACTCGTCCAGAAAGGACATGTAGAGATTTATTTGCATCGTCAGTCAAAGTTTCGGATCGATCGATTGAGAAAGCAAGAAAGCAAAGATTTGAGAAAGCATGCGCAGGCGAAATGTGGAACGATCAGACATATCCCAACAGAAGTATTATAAAGTAGAACACAATCAAATTTCTTACCGTTACGGTTTGGTATTTCCCAAAGTGATTTGTGATATGAAATGTGATTATCTTGGTGTAAATCCCGTTTAACGTAGATATTTCTTACCAAAAGAGTATAATATTATACCAGTCGAAAATTCCCATAAAATGAACGCTATACATTTCTTATACCATAATTATACTCGTACAATACTCTACTGCGTGATTTTTTAAGGTTGAGGTATAACTAAAATGGGTTATGCAGAAAATATGGTTGAAGAGCATCCTGTTGTTGTTCCAAGAATACCCCGCAATATCGAGGTAGACGATGGGGCTGAAAGAGGCAGTACAGTACCTATGAGCACCGGGAGAAGTGACGAGTGAGTTCCTAGCCTCCTTGTGATATAGATAGCCGTATGAGCACAAGTATGCCGGTATTGCTCTTAGATATTCACCTAAGAACATTCACGAAAACGGCGTTAATAAAGTGGCGATTCTAAATGAGGTTATTTTTTCTGTAGATGGCCTACTCTATTTTGGAAGTGGTTCGAATTCCACAGCCTGCTTCTTCAGGCGCGCGTTATATCATACTTCAATGTCTCCTTTTCATGTCCACATCCAAGCTCTAGATATGACCATCATTAATGTCGCCTAGTCGCTTGAATTCCTTCTCATTTAAAACTCATGAGTGTGTAATAGAGGACAGATGGACCAGGTTCACATCGCTTTCATCATAGCTTTATCCATAGTACTACATGCTGAATGCTCAATCTTCCGATTGTTGAGCGAAGGGATTCTCTATCTCTTCGCTTCCGTCCACAGGGCTGATGACTACTAACAGTGTACCTCGAGCAACTACTAGCCCAAGTGATCGGGTTGCTTCCTTGCCCTCGTCATCTAGGTATATGTTAGTTCCTCGTAGAAAGATGACGGGATTGAGGATGACTGACCTCGCATGACCTCTTGTACATCATCGAGGACTAGATTCATAAGAGCATCATATCCTTTAAGTGTACCAGTGACTATACGTCGACGTCATCATTAGCTGTAGTCCATTACCATAACGCGGGGTAGGAGGGGTAGGTAACGGTAAGACATACCTTCTCGCCCACCGTTGAACTTGACGGTAATTCTCTTATCTGTGTATTTGCTTAGGTCTAAGATATTCTCTTTCTTAGGACGTTCCCGTTCTTGTTGTGCACCACCGCTAGCGCCGGCATCAGCTCCGTGTCCGCCTCTTCCCCCGCCTCGTCCGCCCCGGGCTCCGCGGGGATGTCCGCCGCCTCCTCGGCCGCCGCGGTAATGGCCACCACGGTCGGCCATCTTTTTGTCTTGGTAGAGGGGGATGTATGTATGTGGGTGTGAGTATGGGTGGCGGAGTTGTTATTTCCTAGGGAGGGGCCCTAGGAGGGGTCTTAGGTAAGGTAGGTATGGCAAGGTATGTGGAATGCGAAGAGGTAGCGGCACCGAACAAGATGCGGTGAAGGGATGCGACCCAAAGTCCGCTCGAAGGACTAGTTTCGGAAGCTGGGGGGGAGACGGATGCAAGAGATAGGGGGGTACACGGCAGTCTAGACCGGTCGGTGACGAAGCCCGTGTCGCAGGACTAGCACGGCTACCGTTGCAACGGGTAGAGGCGACGAAAGGGGGGGAGGTAGTGGTGGTCGAGATTGGACGAGGGTATCGTCGGGCGTCGAAGAACCTTGTAAAGGGAATTTATCGATCCCCGCGTGCCCGCGTCTCCAAAGTCCTTTGCGTACGGAATTATTGTTACTCCAAATCTGTATCTGTATTCCGTCGAGTTCCTCCGGGATTTTAACGTGACGGCTACCTAAATGGGCGTTTTAAGAACACGCAGCCGCGATTCCGTAATTTCTCGTCACTTTCGGTGCGTAAGGTATGGCCGGATGGACGGTGGGCGGGCCCAGGTGATAGATTCTGTATGTACTGCTGCCCTTCGTGTTTTTTTTTTCGGTTTGTCTGTCGATCATGGAATATGGAGAGTTGATTGCTTTTTTTTCCTGGTGTAAGTTTTGACTGGATGGAGGAAAGTAAATTAGTGGAACCTTAAAGTGATGCTGGAGCTTTTTTACCCCACTATCTCGAAATTAGATATAGGTATCCACGTACCGAGCATTGCCGCTTTTAGCCTCATTTATCTCCGCTACGGTGGCATTTGTTAATTCCGTAAAGAACGGATTGGTTTCTCACAAAACGATATGTTGCAACGGTACATATGATTTGCAGTTTCAATGATCGCCATATCGTCATACGTCAATATTAATTACTTGTCAACTTTCTCTTCTTTTTCTTCACTATGATTCTATTCGCAACGTCGTTGGCGTAGATCCCCGCGCGCTTACCGCTATCGCCTCAGCTCGTTTCTTGTGGATCCTGGCAGTAAGCAATCCTTCCTATTATGTCACGGTATGACGCATGGGGTGTCGGAGTGTGCGGATACATAATGCGTTGTGATGATCCTGCTGCGGTTTCTGGATGGCCTATGTACGAGAGAGACCACTTATACCCGCTACGATATGAGATTCAGTTCCTGTGTTATATATCGACCTAACATGACGTGCCGCTGATGTAAACTGATTCCTTCGGAAGAGTCATGTAAAAGGCCCTATGGTCTGGCCTTATCGAGCCAAGCTTCCCTTTCCAGCAGCAGCTCGCGTGTCCTGAGAAGACAGGCAGGGACGAAGATGTAAGGATATCACTGGGTTTCAAGCCGGCTGAGTAAGTACCCCAGACCTGTGACTTCATTGATCAGTTCGGATAACTATAGTCTCCAAGATAAACATTTAACAAGGGATCAGCCCAGCTTGAGCATGTCTATGTATTAATGCCTGAAGATTAACAGCATATAGATTAATTGATCTTCTGAGTACAGCTCTACCATAACAGTTAAATCTCTGGTACTCCTTTTGAGACAAAAGTTACCTTACGTATACATTACAGAGCTCTTCAATACTCTCCATTGACTCAAGAAGCATATATAAAATAAAATATCCAGGTATGTAACTGCGGCATATACCGACTACTAAAGACCGACTCAACCGTTTTTACTCAACCGTACTCCCTTTTCCGTATAAGTATCGATTGTATTGCTAAACTAACAGAGAACATCGAGCCAGACCAGAATAAGAGCAGCAAGGATACTAAACCCGAATTTGATTGCTACATGTAACGTAAAAACCCCGCGGTAGGGCTATTCGCTAAATTGACCGCGAGAAAAGGTCCTGGGACTTTTTGTTCTGGAACGCTTCTGTCTTGGACCGTGCCGTGTCAGGGGTTCTGGAGGCGCCGTGTGGCTTGTTTGGGCTGCTTCGGAGGCGCCTTAGAGGTCCATCTTAGGGGATCCCGACGGAAGACTAGCGGCCTGTACGTATGCAGTAACCAGGTAGCGCGCTGCAACTGTAGGGATGTGAGCTCGGTAAGACCTATATCTACTCTAGCGGCTCTCAGGGATATTAGCTGCAGAGTATACTCGGACATATCACATTCCTACTTACATACATGAGTATATACTACATGCGTCTGAAGCTGTAATATACATCCAATTCGTACCGGAGCGTACCGGCAATAGCTGGGTTCTGGACACGGGATGCGGGGGATATTGTCAGAGGCAAAAAGGGTAGATGGGGAGGCGAAAAAAGAAAAGAAAAAAAAAAGAAAAATGTAAAAAGCAAATAGGTAACAAATTTATTGATAAGTACGATGCCCTCTAGAAGAGAGCCTTACAGTGATTCTCTAACACTTATTAGTGTCATTGGAATTTTATATTGGGTATTATTTTTTGATCAGATGCCGATCGATGTAAGACTCAAACAATATTCCCTCATGTCGCATCCATCCGAGATTTTTTGTCGAGCCTGCGAGCCTAGCGATGCATCTCAAACCCCATCACGAAAGGTGGGTTTTGGCGCCAAGCGGAGGTGGCTGTTGATCTTTTCCTCGTTTTGTACGGCAGCATAGGATCACATAATCGAGAGACCCTGAAAAGAGCGGAATTCTCAGCGCTGATGATCTTGCCCTATATGCGACTAGGGTAAAGAAAGTAGCGAGGGAGTTGAAGGTTAAGTCTGGGGGGAAAGCAATGCGAAGTGATCGACAGAAAGGACTAGGGACAAGAATGTGAAGATTCTCGGTCTCTATTCCGTGAGGCACATGTAGCCAGCCGAGACTGGTCGCTATACAAACTCCCACTTTTCTCAGGAACATGAAGTATCTCGTACTTCTGATGCTGGTATCACATCTTTTTCATCTTTTCCCGACAGGTGCGTATCAAATTGCTTCCCTACTTTATTAGATTGAATTCGGAAGAAGATGATCGGAATAGTGGAACGCCAAAGCCAACGTACATGTGTTTTCCTATTAAATATATACCCTTATACTCTCAGCAATGTATATCATCTATGCAATGGAAAGATGTAGGTGGGAGTGCATACTGCTTTAATGCGAGGTACCTAACCTACATCGGTACATATAGGTGTATGTATGTACACACCATACATAATGTACATGCATTAGGTCGGACGGAGCCTGGCTCGTGCGTGCTCTTACTTAAGCTCGATTGGTCCGTTGACTTTTTAAAAAAACATCTGAAGGCACTCACTCAACTCATGGTACCTAGGTAGGCACGCCGCACGCACTTTATTACTACCGGGTGTTATAACTTAAACAGCTAAATCGCATAGGCAAGGCCGACCTTACTTAACCACTTAACCTACCCTACCCACTTTGCCATCCAATACGGTCAATTCAAAGCAAACTGCCGCTGTATTTTTGTGTGGGCAGGTTTCTTCTCATCAACATGCCACTTTAAAAAAGAGGAACTCAACTTATTTTCCAACCTCAACTTCAACATCCAATTTTTGTGGGCGGTATTGTTCCATTATTATACATTCTTTTGACCCTTAGCACCATTCTAAGGTAAATCCTTGGTCCAGTTTTTTTTTTCTATAAGCCCCGCGCCCAAAGTCCCAAGAATCCACTCCGGTTTCCGAACTCCCCTGCCCCTACTTAGGTACCTACTCTGGCGCATCTTCACGGTAGTTTGCTCCGTCTCTTTCTATTTGCGTCGAGGCTGAGTATCATCGATATTCGCTTGCTTACTTTAACATACACGTATATCCATACATCCATACACACTTATCGGCTACCCCTTCTTACCCTCTTCGTCTTATTCGTTCGTTCATTCGTCCCAATACGTTCACCCTTATCTAAAGCTACATTGCTGCATACGAATCTCAAGGTTCGCTCCTATGACGGCCGCCGAGCTTGAAAAAGCCCAAAAGCTCGGCAGGCCTAACTTTACAGGCCTGCGTGCCGTTTCCGGGGTCTTCGCAACGCTCGGCGCATCCGCGACAACTTGGGAACATTAAATTCGTAAAATTAAAGAAAAAAAAAATTCTTCCCGTTGTTTGCTGCCTTTATAATATACCATTTTCCTCGAGGCTCTCGAACTAAACTAGCCATACCAAGGAAATTCTCATTCGTTCTACATCACATCTACGCATATGTCGACCTCTATTAGTTGTTGACGGGATTAATTGGGCGGGACAATCGGTTATTTTAGAGCTTGATGCGTGCGCATCGTGTATATCAAAAATTCGCACCAAATTTTTTAAGGAACGCCTGTAAATCTCCCAGGTGTGGGATGTGCCAGTATGGCACACAATCCAGACACCGATCAACATAAACGAAAACGGGATATCTCTGATGATAATGGTAGTCAAGCACCGCATGCTGACCGCATACCTCAACCTCCGCCTCCTCAGTCAGGTAAGTTCCACTCACACCATACTCTCACTTACAGACACAGACGCAGACACAGATACACATCCACACACATCTCTATATTTCCCCTATAGATAACTTCCATTGAGAGACATTGATATCGAAATATCATGTTTCATATATAACACGATCCTTCCATTCCCATGCTATTATATTATTATGACCCGTTGTGAATGCCAAATTATTTTCAACTATATACTCTACCTCTCCACCCCCACCACTATGCAACCCCAGAAATCTATTGATTCGTTTTTGATCATGAATCAACCACTCGTCCTTCACAATTCAGTACTAACCGGCCATATTTAAGGCAACATAGCTCCCATAAATTACCTATCCAAAGCTCAATCGGTCAAACTCAAACTCATTCAGGGTGATAGCGATACGTTTTCTGATGTTCTCACCCTGGTAAATGAGTATGAGGGTAAGCGATCCTTTTATTTTATTACTAATCTCATCCATTCTGTTCATCCGCGTATTGATATATTGATTAGGCGTGTTAAATCGACATGAAAGTCTCGCAGCCAACCTGGGCGCGAAGCTAACAGGTACCCGCCTATTGAAAGCAATGGAGGGAGCTTTTGAGGGTTCGATAACAACAACTCCGCCTCAGACAATATTTACTCCAGATCCCGTCACATGGCTTGACATTGTTGAATTTGCTAAGGCAAAACCTGGAGAATTTATTCTAACATCCGCGCCAAATGGCACACGCTTTTGTCAATTTCCTCTGAAAGGTGTTCAGGTCGAAATCGGGGAAGATGACTGGAGGCTGATCGTATCTGGCGCCTTGGATAGATTCAGACTGGTACCACCCCAACCTTTAGAGGAGGATGAGACGGCGGAATTAGCAACCCTTGAAATTGTTGAACAACGCCTACAAATCCTGATTAAGAAGGCGGACGAAGTGGCGCGTAAGGCTCGCCAACTTAACTACCACTTGAGCGGACGAAAGGCGTCTATACACGCTCGTCGGTCGTCCCAATCAACTGCAGGCCCCGGTTTTCAAGCCGTGAACCAATCAATCGGCACTGGGGCTAGCCCAGGTTATGACCTACACGCCGACCTTCTCCAACAGTTTCAAGCACCCTCACAATCCTCCAGCCATCGAATATCCTCTGTCAGTTCTATACCACCGACGCCAAATGCAATAGGTACTACGGCATCGACACCAAGGGCATCTATCCAACAGCAAGCCTTAATAGGGAGCAATCGGCCGTCTCCGGGTTATTCAGCTGAGCCAATAGTGAGGGATATTGAAGAGGAGAACCGTGCCCTAGTCACAACCAAAATTGAGAAATTGGCGCGTGGAGATGTCATACACCCACCGTGTGATAGGTGTAGAAGACTCAAGACACAATGCATCAAGCATCTAACCGCCTGCCAAGGATGCACTAAAAAGCATGCAAGGTGTGTGTGGAAAGGACTTACGGAAGAAGAGGTGGCGTGGCTTAAAGGCGAACTTAGTGGAGATGATGAAGGAGATGAGATTAGAGATACCGGCAGACCTAGATTTGGGTCTCATTCACTCCCCGAATATGGTGAGCTTCGGAGGGATCTGGAACGTAGCGACGAATCCAGCACGGGTAGATCCGGGTCAAGAATAGCCATTGGCAGACCTGCGGACGAGGTATGGAGAAAAGGACCGGAAGCGCCAGTAAGCGTCAGACATGAAAGCATGGAGATAGATCCGAGAGATATTCGACAGACACAAGAGTATCCAAGAACTGAGATACCACATAAGTCAATGCTTAGTCATATGGCCTCTGCCGCATCAGCAGTGGCAGATGCTGGTGCAATCCCGCGAGGGAGTCAACGCCTCTCCGAATGACTTGATATGAGAAGATATGATATCAATGGATTGGATGTACATATTGATGAGGGAATCCGTACATGCAGATTCATTACAAAAGGGGGGCATTTTGAACATTTTATCGGGGGGGGGCGCAATGGCTGGGAATTCGGCTACTATACCTTTCTCGGATGATATTTATAACATGATAATGCAAACTATTTATACAAGAAAATTGAAATTCAAGAGAAATAAACGATTTTTGATACCAATAAGATGGAATTGATGATGTTAGGTATAAGACATTGAAATTCCAAGTTGATGTCTTGTAGGATTGAGTATTCTACCTGAACCCCTGGCCTGGTTCTGACCTCACTTAGAATCTTTAATGTTTAGTGTTCCAGCCCTGCCAGGCTGCGTCCGAATGAAATTAATTTCCCGGTTATCTGGATCGCGGGTATCTGAGCCACAGAGCGGATAGGGTACCTGGACCCACTTAATAAGTTTCGGGAAGCGCGCTAGATTTGACGCGACTGGGGGAAGATAAAAGATAAAGGAGGTTGTGGCGTTGGTGGGGATCCATTAAAAAAAGTCAAATCGCCAATACGTCTTCGATGTCGTAACCCTACCACCGAGACCGACTTTCCCAGCTTCAACTCTAACTCCGAAGGCACAAAATTATACGAAATTAGAATATTTACGTAGTCGAACCGCCATAAACAGAAGTCCGCACAATTAGAAACATTTATGGAGTCTCGATAGCAAGATCCTTATCGGATTACTTGTGCGCATTGCATATTCATAGGCCGAGACCGAACGAGCCGACGTATAGCTATAATAGTTACAACGAGCCACGATGGCTGAGTCGCCATCTCATGCGACTTATACGATGAGTAATAGTGGACAACGCCGTGAGGGCAAAATGCCCATACCACAGCAATCCCCGCTGCCACAATCGCGAGAGCTCGGTCTTGCAACCCTGGAGATAACCGCCACAAAACCGTCACCATTCACAAAATCATGGCCACATTTGGTTGCTGGGGGGTACGTCTTGCCATTACGCTCCAGTCTCTCCTATAAGAGCGCTCTCTTGCTGTTATAAACAATTTTTGCTAGGAAACGAATGGACATGGGACTTGTGCTAACCCCACCTATCCAGTGTCGGAGGTATGACAGCAGCTGTCCTAACAGCACCCCTCGACGTCTTAAAAACCCGACTTCAATCCGATTTCTACCAAGCACAGCTCCGTGCAGCACGAGAAGCTACCGGCCAAGCACGGCTTGGCCCCCTCCAATCGGCTTCCTACCACCTCCGCGAAACACTTCAGATCCTACGCGACGTGCACCGACTCGAGGGATGGCGGGCTCTATTCAAGGGTCTGGGTCCGAATTTAATAGGTGTGGTTCCGGCGCGAAGTATCAATTTCTACGTGTATCCCACGGGCAAGCGTGCGTATTCGCAGTGGACTGGTCTTTCTCCGGATAACCCGGGCATACATCTTGCCAGTGCCGTGACAGCAGGCATTGTAACTGGAACAGCAACGAATCCGATTTGGCTGGTTAAAACGCGCCTGCAGCTCGACAAAAACCATGCTGAGCGAAAAGGCGATATTGGCGCGCGGCGGTATCGAAATAGTTGGGATTGTATACGGCAGGTTATGCGCGATGAAGGTCCGAAGGGCTTTTTCAAAGGGTTGAGCGCGAGTTATCTTGGTGTTACAGAGAGCACGCTCCAGTGGATGATGTATGAGGAGGTTAAACATCGGTTAAGAGTACGGGAAGAAAAGATCGTGAAGAGCGGAAGAGAGAAGAATTGGTGGGACCATACAGTGGACTGGACAGGCAATTTCATGGGTGCTGGTGCGGCCAAGGGATTGGCGTCGATTTTGACGTATCCGCATGAGGTAGGCATCATGAGAAGAAGAATGGGAAGTGAAAGAAATGTGAGCTGACACAAGGATTAGGTTGCGCGTACACGTCTAAGACAAGCGCCGATGCAAGACGGCCGACCCAAGTACACGGGCTTGGTGCATTGCTTTAAACTCGTCTGGAAGGAAGAAGGTATGATTGGGTTATACGGCGGCCTAACACCTCATCTTATGCGTACAATTCCCTCGGCCGCGATTATGTTCGGCATGTATGAGGGTATCGTCAAGCTTCTAGGCTCTAAGAGCTAAACGCGGTGTCCTCGGTCGGCATCATTGCCGAAAATCTCCACCGAGTTCGGCCGAATAGATATAACTGACGCTGTAATAATATTAACGAAAGACACGAAGGGGAAATGGCGAGGATACGGTTAAGCGGGTGGGCTACGTTGAAACGTTTAATACCGGAAGCTGGATATATGAAGACCACGAGCCCTAAGAGAAGAAAACTCCACTCAGGGAGATTTCTCTCATGCACATACTGGCGCATTTTCGCGCGTACCACATCATCACTACCCACCTGTATACCAGACGACACGAAACTGTACCATAGAAAAAGGGTTATGATCCGATAGAAAAGGGGTAGGGACGAATTAGAGCTACTAGTGGCTATATCAGCCTTGCAAGGGAGTGGCGATGAGGGGCTTGTTTGCTTCGGCTGCGATGCGGCTACGATCTACCTATTCATTTACGAAGAATTGGTAGAATGGCGTTTCGGGGAACAGGAAAGAGGATGGTGCATGAGGTTTGAATAGGAATGACAAGACGGTAGGATAGGAAAATAATTGAAATGATGCCACTCAACGAGTCCATTTTATGATTTCCTTTGGTATATCAAGTGAGTACTTATGCGTAAGTTGGCCTAATCCAATTATATATGCACAATTGGGTGGGGCGACACAATATTTTGTAGATTTCATAATGAGGTTTTGGAATCGGGTACTAATATACCTAGGTATTTTAAAGGGGGGGGGGGGGTAATGATAATATTTAATATTTAATAATGAATAAAATTAGAATTGGTATAAAGTGTCACTTAAAAAATTGGTAAAAAGAAAAAAGAAAGTGCCAACGCGCGGGCTCGAATGGGTGACCTAAAAAATCTCCAAAAAAATTGTTTGCTTCTCTTTGATTAAGCGTGTCATCCTTAGTGCAGGGGCCATGCTAATCTTCTCTGTATCGTTTCAAATTGACCAAATGCCCGAAGGCAAAAAATTGATAATTAGCTTTACCTATATACTTTACACCAAGCTAAGCTCCCCACTTTTCCACATTGGATTAGCCATAATTTACCCGCTGGTTTGATTACCTAATCTCTAACAGTCTGATTCTACAGTGAGACTTGGTTCAATCGTCTACTCCCCAAGAGATTTAGACATTCACTATTTTCACGAACAGCCCCCCCGCGTTCTTGTTACCCAAATAATGATCAAATTATTACTGTTTCTTGTATCTGCTGGATCTATGGAATACGTACTGCTTTGATAAGCACCATCAAATATTTAATTAATACGAACGATATTCCTGACGCAGTAAACTTCCATACTTATTCTAATTCTTTCCCTCCAACGTTTTTAATGGGTGTGTATTTCTGTAAGGCATGTTTTCTAAGGGCTGATATCAATAATTGATCGACCCTGTAGATACTGAAACGTATTTGGTATAATTCTGTTTTATTTTTCAGTGGTATGTACATTTAAATGAGAAATGAAGTAGAAATGGCCGTAGAGCACCTGCGTCAGCTGAATCGCGCAAGAATTAGCCCCTCTGTCGAGTCAATTCAAGACGAGTGCAACTGGGTAATTGAGCGAAAACGTCTGGAAATGTGCGCGATGAAATTGTGGTGATATCGATGAAATTAATAGAAGCCAACCCATTTGTTTTACCAGTGGCCTGATCAAATCTCTCAATCGGTTGGCAATCGTACCTCTCGGTTTCGAATTAGCTAAATCCACATGGGTGTCACGAAATAGATATACCCCCTAGCCTCGAGTCTGTCTTGTTTCCTCCTAAGGAGCTCAGAATAGCAGCATATGTTACTACCCAATAATTTCCTTTCTTCATTATAATCGTAATGTCGTTCCAGTCTCCCAGCTGCTACGTTTCGACGCTGCTCCTTGTAGATTTGTCTCCGTAAGCTGTCTCGGCGGTCGTTTCTGGAGCTTTCGAGGTGTACGACGGCCACTAGGAACTTGTGGTCCGTTGCTAGTCAACGAGTCGAAGAGGCGCAGTCACCAGGCGTTGCGATCCCAGTTAGGGTCTGTAAATTAGAGTCGGTTAGCCAATCCTCATTTAATGTAGCATTATATGTTAAAATTGACTTGTCATAGCGACCACGCGGGCCCTAGTAATTGGCACAGATGATCATGCTTTGAAACTCACTATAGCCTACCAAGCTAAGACGAGCTCGAGGGAAAGGAACAGGGGCGGTGGAGGGGTAGAAAACTAACCTTGCACGAACGCGGCTAGGACCTTGCTGCCAGTCTGGAGTAGAGGGTGTCCAACGACAATCTTAAGGAACTTCTCAAGCCCAGCGCGACGGCCCTCGATAACGTCGTCGGAGAATCGATTGGTGAAGACCTTGCCGGGGAGCGGAGGGATAGTAACGCGAGCGCTCTCTCGTTCAAGGATATCACGGAAATACTCGAAGTCGCTGTAACGCCGGCGCACCGATGACTGCCGTAACTTAAAGGCGGGGATGTTGGTCCGGCATAGAATCTCATAGTCCGTGTACATGTTACGTGACGTACCGTGCGTTCGCGGGTTACGGACCTATAATAGGATAAGATGATTGGTTAGTTTCAGTGCTTACTACCGCTGACATATGTGCTCTCTAAGCTCTGCTGTGTCGCGTGATGCCCTTCTAGAGGCGGGGTGGGAGTAGAAACAAGAGGAAAAGGTAGTGGGATAGCTCTTATTATTCGGCTAGTCGTTTCTATTGGACGAAACTACATTCGGGGAACAAGGACAATGCGCAACTGTGTACTCGAAGGGGAGTGAGCTATACCTCAATCTCGAGAAAGTTCTCGGGCGGACCGTAAATTTCCTCGAAGGATTGCTGGCGCGTGTCCGGCATGGACTGCATAATGGGGCGGGTTAAGCCAGCCATTCCGCGAGGAGAGGATGCTGTTGTCGGGGAGGATGGTGTTTGATTCGGCGACTTAGGTGCCGCTGGCGCTGCGCCCCCGCGAACGGCGGGGACCTGCTGTTGTTGGTGGTCGGTAGACGCCGTTTTGGCGGTTTTGTATTCTCAAATGGCTATTGAGAGGGGATTCGCTCGGCGGATTTTAAAGTCCAGAGGCTTCCGCCTCGTCGGCTTAGTGACCAGACAGGGTTTCGGTCCAAAATGTCCGTTCGTTAGAAGGAGCGAGGAGGAATAATCGTTTAGGGAATTTTAGGTTGAGAGTATAACGCGTTCTCCGTTTGGTGGAAAGGGGGGGAATTGGAGGGGAAGAAATGTCGTAAGGTTTGCCTTTCGCAATCGTTGGCGGTGGAAAGTTCCACGGAAGTGGGATGCGGGTCTAACACTGTGGAGCCAAGCCAAGGAAGCTATTTCCCAAATTATGAGTACGTAGGTACATATGCATGAGGTGACTGGTCATATACTTAGGTACTTTACTATAGATACTTGATGCACATATAAACTCTGAATGAAATATACATGTATACTAGTAGAAAGAAGTACATTGGCGGCAGAGATGGAAATTGTGACGATGTACAGTACGTACCTGAGTCCTATTAAATTGGAGTAGGTTCGTGCTTTCTGTGTTACCTAATCATCACCGGATTTCCAGTGTGGGGTTGTCGGACCCGGGAGAGCAAAATTCAACTTCATCTCCTTCAACTCAGGCATTCGGAAAGTCCAGTCAAGTCCAAATAACTAATACTAACCCCCAACTTATAAGGCATAAGGATAATTACCAGTTTTACTCACATATGACTGATTGATTAGCAATCCGTACTCACCATGTATCATCATAGGGATACAAAAACTAGCAAGCCACAAATTCAAGGGACAGATTATCATAAAATGACTTCTTTTTCTTTGTTATCAAGTCATTGTAGTCTAAGTTGACTATCTCTGCCTACGATGAGGCCACATAGGGTACATGCCCTAATTGATATCCCGACTGGTCGAATGCCAGTCTCCACGAAATATGATGTTGCATGCCTAACATGCAACCAAGCAAAAAGTAAAACTCAGTACGTATCAGTACGTGAGTACATGGGGGGAATTGTAAAAACAAGGCCAGAAAATGCCTTTCAGTTCATCCCTTTCGCATATATAGTCATATCGACTATAGAAAATGCGAGGGTGAAGTAATACCGTGCAACTCTTTTAACAGCCGGGGCTGTCTAACCGAACCATTATACCAGCAAACCACAACGAGTGCCTGTGTAATCTGACGTCATCAAAGACTAACCAGAGGTGCTATACACCAGACCTTCCAAACCATTCGGAGGTTTAGGAAACCAGACTAAAGCTATCGGGGCTTTAGTAGACGGGGGGACGTCCTCCCTCAACCGCGCGACGAAGGATTCTGCCGATTGCAACCCACTCAGCGGTGGCAACACGAGCGAGCGAGAGGTCCTTGAAGTCAAGACTCTCGGGATACTTCGCTTCACGCCAGAAGTAGCCCCAATAGTCGGTGCTCATGTCCTGCTCACGGCGTAGCTGCTGCTGTCGATCGATACTCATGTTGCAGGCAGCGCGCTCAGTCTCTCCGCGGATTAAGGCGATGTAGTACTAAATCATCATCGTTAGCGATATGAACTATCGGAATGAGTTTGTAAATGAGATTTTAACTTACCTCGACTACATCTAAAGGAACACCGGGCTTAATGCTCAGGGCGTGAAGATGACGCCACTCTGAGGCATGCATGGGCATGTTGAAATCCCTCATCTTGGACTCGGGCATATCAACCAAGAACGCGACATTGTCTTTCTGGACAATGGAAAATCCGGGGCAGCTCATAACGGCTGCAACAAGGCGGTTCAGGAGTTGGGCCGTGAGACGATGTCCGTTGACTGTCTTTCGCGGGTGCGACTAGCACTCGGGATGCTCGATCATGGAGATCGTCTCCTTAAGGAGCTCAATCATCTTAAAGGCAGCATTGAAAATCCAGTGTCGTTCACGGATGGTGATGTAGTCGGCCATGTGCCATGGCATCTTCTTCAGTGTGCTGATCATCGACTCGAAAGGACGTTCGGGGCAATGAAGCACAAAAGGAGACTGCGAAAGATAATATTAGCGATAACGACTCTTCGATATATTAGTGCAGAGAGGTGATACTTACGTGGCCGGGCGACTCCGCGTGCTTGAAGATCATTGTCATTTCCTCCTCGGTGACAAAACCCTTGAAGTGGTCCCAAGGCCAGGTCGAGGTGTTGGGGCCCACTTGGTAAGGAACAGCGACCCAATCGACTCCCTTTGTGAATGGGAAGAGTTGCTTCATGAGCATTCCTTGACTCGCAAGTGTAACATCGACGGGACGACCTCCGAGGCGAGGCTGGCGACCGCTTTCCATTGCATTCCGGTGCTTGTGGACCGCGTTGATTGCGTCTTGAAAGTCCATAAATTCAATGTAGCAATCATTGGTCTTGCTGGTAGTGCGGTCCATGATGATGTGGACCGGCTCCTCCTTGTCATTCCGGATACGTGAGCTTCGACCGAGGAAGGCAATAACCTCGGCACGCGAGATATCATAAGGGATCTGGAAGGAAAGTGTTAGTCATTAATGGTCAGATAATAAATTGTGGGAAGAAACTAGTGAGTAACTTACGTTGTTGATGCAGATAACACCAGCAGCACCCATCTTAGAATCACGGAAAGCTTCAGTGAACGGGATCATATCAGGGTGAATGATCTTCTGAACCGAGGGATGGCCATCAACACCCGCAAGATCGTTCAGCCATTGCGACCGCTGGCTTTGAATCTCCTCTGTAGGGGGAGTGAATTCCAGCGGGCCGTAGGCGCCAGCGACCTGTAGAGCCATGTCGTTTTCGTCATCAATCGGTTGCTGGTACTTTACAATCGATTTGATTAGTTCAGGATCGGACTTAGCAGCCATCTTGTGGAGATAATCAAGCAACCACAAGTTCTCGCCAATCTGCTCAGGGCTCGATTTGGTGGATCGAGGCTCAATGAGAGACGAGTGTGCTGATCCTGGATTAGAATTACGGCTGATGCACGTGGCGGGGCTAAGACGTCTAGCAGTAGGTGCAACGATAGAAAGTTGGCTACTGCTGCTGCTTTGATTACTCTGGCGGCGCTGGTGGGCGCCGTGGGGGTGCAAGGAAACACCACCGCCAGGTACCAAAAGTACGTGCGTTTCGCCCTTGTCCTCCTTAGGCGGGGTTAGTGTTATAACCGGGGATGGCCCTTTGGAGTCAGGGTGAGAGCTCAGGTTAATGAGCCCATGGGGGTCGTTCTGCGGAACTTGGGCGTGGCTTCCTTGTTCCATACCCATTGACGCACTAGCCTCATGACCAAGTCCAGAAGGCGCTCGTGGAATGTTGCTATGGCCGTTAGCAGGACGACCTTCATTCACATTCTGAATGACTTGGTGCAGGAATCTCTCTTGCTCCGGAGACATAGCCGAGGTTGATGGTCGTCGCGCCTGGGGGGTACCGGGGGCAAATCGAGTAGGGCTGTGGTTCGAGACAACCAAGCCAGCCGAGCGATTGGGAGGCTGGAAAGGTTGAACACCTGGGTTAAGATTAGTCGTACCAATGTGTTGGTACGACTCTTGGGTATGCGGAGCCTGGAATTGGCCTCCAAAGGTGCCAGACAACTGGGGCATAGCGAAGTTCATTCCGGCTATGGGGGCCATAGGGTTTGCCATAGGGCCTTGGAGGCCGGGAGTCGGGTACATGGAATGGTGGGTATCGCGTCGAGCTTCATTCTCGAGAACTCGCAGATACTGTTAAGGGATTTGTTAGCGTATTCTGATTTAATGATATAGGCTAGACTCGGGTCACACTTACGTTCTGTTCCGCCTCTTGGAAGAGGGCTTTAGCGGCCGCAATGGTCGGTGTTTGCTCGATACGAGGAGCCAATCTTACCTGGGGGTGAGAATGACCGATGAGATTGATGGCGGTCTGATTAACACCGACAGGGACAGGCTCCAGCGGACCGGGCGCCGCGCGACCGGGTGCCCAGCCTCTGTTAGAGGTATCACCCATGTTTCCAGCAATCTGATGGCTGGAGAAGCCCATCGAGCTAGGTAGTCCAGACGAATGGAGAGGCGCACCACCGCTAGAACCACTAGCGGCTGTGTCTTCTGCGACGCGTCCGGGAAGGCGGGAGTTGGGCCAATGAGTGCCTCGACGTCCCGATTGCTGAAGGTTGTGACGATCCATTTTGGACGAGAAAATCTAGACGATGGAAATAACTCGCGGGTCGCGCTGTGTGTCAAGCAGACGCTAAGTTAGCTGACGTGTCAACAAGTAACGACGACTTCGTTCAGGTGTTGATGTAAGGCTCGGCGACAGGGAGCCGACAACCAAGAGTAGTAGAGGAAATGAAAGAGAGAAGGAACTCGCAACGCGGTCGGCCCATGTAAAGACAACGATGGGTATGGTAATGGAAACAAATGCAAGACGCGAGGGATGGTAAGAAGAGATACAAAGGATTAGAGATGGTGTGTTGGTTGAGAGAGAATGGAGAACTAATGTCGAGGGATTGGTGTTTTGATGAAGAAGAGAGAAAATATGAATGTTCGTTGGTGAGAAGAATAACTCACATTTATTAAGGTGCTGAAGAAAAGTACAGTTGCGAAGTGTGGGTCACTGCTAGGTGTTAACGGTGTGGGGGAGCAGGTAAAAGAGGAGGAGAAAAGGAAAGAAGGCAGCTCTCCGGGAGAATGAGATGTTTGTACCTAGTGTAGGATAGATTAGTGTATAGATAGTGGAAGAGAAGAAACGTACCTTGTGCAAGTTCGCACGCCCACAGTACGTTTCCTGCGTATAGAAGTCGCGAACTTGGGGTGTGCTGAAAAAGCCAGGGATAAGATGACAAGAGGACAAGAGACAAGTTGCCCAATGCTTAGGCAATCGCCGGGGTTCAGGTGCAAAAGACGGAATGACGGAGTGGATTTACTAGGTGTTAACGGAGAACCACGTGGCCCCGTGCTCTAGTCGGGTTAGTCCGGGGGATGAAGGGAAGGAGGTGGCTTCCAAAAGGAAATAGGAAAACAGATAATCCCGTGTTCTTGTTACCTAGGTAGTTGTATAGGCGGAAAAAGGAGACGCTAAGAGTGATATTTACTTACTAGATGAACACCTCGTACGGTGTGTTGGGTGGGTCGTGGTCGCTACAAGTTTGTCTCTGTTCATTCATGAATAAATTTTACTGATAAAGCTGCATGCGAAATGTAAAAGGAAGGGGCGAGAAATAGGGGAGTACAGGGTCTTATGACGCCATGAGGGTAGGGCTTCATTACCCACCTAGAAATGTAGGATCCAGAGATATGTTGACTATGGTATGATCAATAAATATTGGAGGGGCTAGAGAAGTGTATGCCGTATATATGAGGGCGCTAGGGTTGATCGGAGCACTGTAGCCCCCAGGGATCGAGATGATGGTGGTTATGAGGCTATGGCAATAGTTGTAGGGTGAAGTGTAGGGGGGATGCGGGGAGAAGCGAACTTGGATAGCGATCACCTTTCTCGCAGGCGAGCTCGACAAGCCTTCTTCGGGAAACTTTGGAGGTCTAAGATTGACGCTGGACTTACTCTTTAGATACGTACAGGATATGTATCTTGAAAGAATGAAATGTTCTGAATGTGGTATAAAACCGAGTTGGCAGGAGTGAGAAGAACGCGGTACAACTTCTGGGGTTGGTGCTTCCGGCTCTAGGGGGTTTCTAAAAAAGAAAATCAGATCAACTTCACGAGTAGATCGGGAAGAAAGGGAAGGAGGGAGATCCGCTTCTGAAAAAGGTTGGCAGTGGGTGACCCTGAACAGTACGTAGTTCAGGGCAACCTCTGAGATGCCTAGGTACGTTGAACCCTGTACTAATCGAAAATTCGGAATGCCCTCATAACAGTGTATTAGGTACTATGCGCTCGGTACGTACCTATACGTACCGCTTACGCTCTCATTATCAACACGTCTACTTGGTAGGGGCTTTGTGGCTAGCTAATTAGGTACTCAGGTAACGAAATATTTAATCCAATATGGAGGTTTGCCGCACTTTTCTCATATTTGACTGTGTAAATAACGACACAGTTTGAGCGCGCAAAAGTTTTATCAGCAAGAACCCGGGAGATATTTTATCTGCCTGTAAAGCAGAGCTGTCTGTTCGTATAGTAAAAGACCCTGCCGTGCTAATGGGAGTCATAGGATAGGGGTACCTTGCCACAGTCCACCTTAATCAATACAATCCCCCTTCTAAGAATGCTATAATATTACATGAATATTATATTGTTCTTGGATTCATACTTGCTTAGGTTCTAATATGACATCGCATTGAATTTTTTTTTGGTACCAAGTATAATCTCTGCACTCCGGCCTGCTACTATTACATCCCGTACTGTAGCAGGCATTTTAGTCCGTATCTCTTGTATCAATGTATGAATAGGGGTTGAGAATCGTCTATCTAGGAATCTAGCCAATTAACGAAATCGCCACACTCACTAAGTATTATTACGACTTAGCGCATGCGGCGCCGTTCATTCGAATCAAATTGATGCGGCGAAACGCCATAAGCAACAATCATAAGAGGTAGGTGCCAATTAGGTAGGAGAGACCGATTCGAATAGAATAATGTATAATAGGGACTATCTTGAGCGTACAACGTCGCATATATGATCCTACTGCGAATTTCAAGGTGTCTTGAGTTACGAAACGGTCGATTCATGGGGTATGAATATCATCAATTCGGAATATGGTACGGCTCGTTTCGGATATATGTTGGGGCCTCAGAGATGTGTGGCAGTCGTCGAGTTGGTACGGACTATAAATTGGTCAATGAACGTCTCCTCCGAGTTAACAAATGGCTCCTTCAATTAGGATCCGAATACGTCGAATCCAAAGACGTTCTACCTAACGGAGCCTTATCTGCTCTGGGGGTCGTAATGACGAGTATAATATATTGAGATTAACGCTTTACTCAACCTGGCGGACGAGATGTTAGGATAGGGAACGTATCGTGGATCATATTTGGCCTCATTTGTCTTCGGCGACTTGCCGCGTATGATGCGAACTAGACGAAGACGCTGAATTGCGATTGTTGCCGAACGGGAGACCCTGCTGGGAACAAAGATAGGGTTCGCTGAAGCTTCTTGGTCGAGCCAGTTGGGCGTTTGGTGATGGAAAAGTGTACAAGCCCAATGTATGGGTGAATCCGCATACAATGTATCTCGTAATTATGTTAGCCTAGAAGATTTAATGCGATATATTATAGGTATCCACATAGCTAGCTTGGTTTGGGTAACGGTAATGGTTGGGCTATGCTTGGGTAGGTACTGACGCTACACGACGCCGATTTGAGCATTCGGCTTTCGCCCTGGTTTCGTATCATGTTTGGGTTCGTGGGGGCGTTGTGGAGCAAAACATATGTGACTATAGTAAGTGAAATCTCGCCGTGCCTCGCTATGCGCGTTATCTCGACGATTGCGCATATCCTGTCGATAGGTGTACAATGGCAATTGCTCTAAGCGCCTGAGCTTTCCCGGATCTTGTGTTAAATCTCGAGGATTTGACGCCTTTGTAAGTAACCTTTTATATAATTGGTAGGGGTTAGTAAAATAGGGGGCTTCCTCCTAGTAGGTTTTTTTTTATATATAACAAAATTTCTTCTTTAAGTTAGGGTATAGTGTTATATAGGTTTCTTCATTGAGATGGGGATATATCATCGCGTAAGCACCCGTTAGCTTCCACATCCAACCTCCGCTGAAGAATAGTTAGCAAGAGCTATCGAGTTAAGACTAACGTAGGAATTCGATAACTTAGAACCCGGTTCTCGTTCCCTAAAGCGCATACCTAGAACGATATGGACAGCGAGACCATTAGAACGGTAAACTGCCTAGTTCCATACGAAGGACTAGAGGTACGAAGTAATAATCTTGAATCCATTGATTGCTGCCATTTCGTGATTTCATATGTCTAAGTTGCGACTATTTTCCAAGGTGCCGCTTCCTCTCTGTACGGTTTCATAAAGACCCTTTTGGGTATGTCAAGTTTTGCGTCCACATGAACGCCAGCTAAATAATCCATGCCTTGTCTGCTTTTTGATATAAACTGGCAGGAAACTCCATCCTCTATGCATACGGCTTGCTTAGTCAAACTGCGGGTAGTGTTAGCTATATGTCGCGGAAAGGGAGGAACGGGGAAAGGTGGCCTACGGGTGTTAAGAAAGATTCCGCAACGAATCTCGCCCTTGCGTTCAACTAGGATTCAGTCAGTAAGTACCGAGCCGTAGAACTGCTCCTAGAACGACGTACGAATAACTTCATCTCTGAAATTTCCTTATCGACTTCCTCCATGAATTGAATGATGAAATCCACTAGCTTGTGCTTCAACATCTCTTCGGTGTGGAAATTCGTTATTAAGAATGAAATGTCGTAGCCCTAGTACACCGAGTTAGTACTCCGTGGCCTCTGATATTATTGCAGTCATACCTTGATTGGTTTTCTGCGGAGGATAAAGAAAGCTTCAGCTCGTTGGGTGAGGAATCGGGTAAATTTGTGGACAAGGATATTCTCGATCTCGTCTGCCTGCTTGATCTTGATGCTGATTCGTACGCTGTTGACACTCGGTTCGATCAAGACTTTCTCGTTCTCGTTTCGAGCGATGACTAGGGGGTTGAGTAAAACCTCAGGAGAGGTTTGGGCTTCGATTTCGGGGACATTGTGACGTTCGGAGGTTTGAGAGGCGAAGTTGGAGAGGCAGAGAGCGGCCGTAAGAGTACTCCGCACGCATTGGAGATACGGGCGGAGTGATTGGGACTAAATAATCAGGTTAGTTTTCATTTTGACTATATGCTGAGAAATGAGATAGGAGTAGAATATACCATGGTGTGTAGAGCAGGCGACCTCCTGAAAGCGGTCAGACTTCAATGGATGGTGGGGTGAAGCAATCCCCAAGTGTGACGCTGGGAACAATTAAGAGAGCGCTGGAGAGAACTGCCTGGGGCGTTGTCACGCTAATTACGAGTTTTGATGTGGGGCAAAGCATAGCTTAGTTGGATTATGTAATGTCTTTCTGTATTACGTAATTGAGAACAAGACTGGACTATCAACCTGATACAATGTTAGGTCATAATGTGGCAGTTTTTGTGGCTGGTGAAATGAGTAGCTATGGTTAGGACCCACTTCAGGTGAAACTCTAAAAGCCGGGTAGAATCGCATCGATCATTGGGTGACGCACCACGAGTTTGCCTTGCCTATACATAATACAACTGCACATGTACTTGAATTAATAAAAACATCCGTCCCTTCTTCGGAACCATACCAAGTTTCTTCCTTATCCTGTCTGTTGGGATTCTTCAAGATATCGAAAAGGACGTATTATCCATTTTTATTCCAGCATGGCGACAATACCTAGTAAGTACCTATAAATTCGAACTCAAGCACTCCGCTTCTGCTGAAGAATTGCCCCACTAACTTGCCTTGCTCGATACAGTTGTCGTGAAGCACCAAGGCACCAAATATGATGTTGAGGTCGACCCCGATTCGACCGGTGAAATCTTCAAATTCCAACTTTACAGCCTCACCGGAGTAGAGCCCGAACGCCAGAAGATCTTGGTCAAAGGTGGCCAGGTGAAAGATGATACCCCCATGAGCAAGTTCAACTTCCAACCTGGTCAGTCAATAATGATGCTTGGAACACCGGGTGGAAAGGATATCCTCGCCCGTCCTAAGGAACAGATCAAGTTTATTGAGGATATGACGGAAGCCGAAGCCGCCCAACAAGAGGGAGCTATACCTGCTGGTCTGACCAACCTTGGTAATACATGCTACCTCAACTCTACCCTACAGGCTCTACGTGCTATCCCAGAGTTGCAGAACGCTCTTGGTACCTACGAACCCCAGGCTGGCGGTGCTGCCGCTGCTCTTATGCCTCCGTTAGACCTGACGAAACAGCTTCGAGATCTCTACAAGTATATGTCGGAAACTCAGGAAACATACGTCCCCCACGCCTTCTTAACCGCCCTGCGAACTGCCTTTCCTCAATTTGCCGAGCGCTCACGAACCGGTCCGGGCTACGCCCAACAAGATGCGGAGGAGGCGTGGTCCCAAATCGTCACTCAGCTACGCCAAAAGCTACACGTGAAGGATACTTCTAATTCCACCGAAAGCTCTTTCGTTGACAAGTATATGTCCGGAGAATTCACATCCGAACTCGGATGCGATGAACCTGCAGCTCGTGAGGGTGGAGAGAAGGCCGTAGTATCGAAAGATACTTTCATCAAGCTCAACTGCCACATCGACTCGAGTACAAATCATCTACGAGACGGTATTGCTAATGGTCTGAGTGAGAAGCTGGAGAAAAGATCGGAAGTTCTTGGTAGAGACGCTGTTTACACCAAGACCTCCAAGATCTCTCGATTACCCAAGTACCTTACTGTACATTTCGTTCGCTTCTTCTGGAAACGAGAGACTCAGAAGAAGGCCAAGATTATGCGAAAAGTTACCTTCCCTCACGAATTAGATCTCGTAGAATTTTGCGACGATAAGCTGAAGGGAATGCTGGTTCCGGTTAGAGATAAGGTTCGAGAAGTTCGGAAGGACGAGGAAGATATCGAACGCGCACGCAAGCGACGCAAGCGAAACCTTGCTGGTGAAGATGTCGGCGATATTCCCAGCGGTAAGGGTGCGGCTAAGAAGGACGAGAAGAAGGATGACAGCAAGAAAGCTGCCACTTCGGCGGATGGTGATGTTGAGATGGGTGAGACTTACAAGACGGACGCCGAAATCGACGCTGAACGCGATGCTGCGCTTCTCGAAGCGAAGAAGGAGCTACATGCTTTGATCAACCCGGAGTTGGGCAAAGATGATGGTGCCAACCAGTCAGGGCTGTATGAGCTTCGAGGAGTCGTTACACACCAGGGTGCTAGTGCGGACAGCGGTCATTACACGGCTTACGTCAAGAAGGCCGCTCCAGTCGATCCGAAGACGGGCAAGCGCAAAGAAGAGGATGGCAAATGGTGGTGGTTCAACGACGACAAGGTGTCGGAAGTAACGTCGGACAAGATCGAGGCGCTCGCTGGTGGTGGCGAGTCGCACTCAGCTCTCATCCTGCTCTACCGCGCCATCGCCTTACCTGCCGCTGACGGCACGATCGAGTAATCATGAGAAAGAAAAATGGTACGAGAAGACGATATTACATACTGGCGTTATGTATGAATGCATGCGTGCATGGCAAGCAGGGAATATGGGGCTAGTAGCATTAGACTCACATCCACTTGATAGGGCACGGTTCGGAAAATAATACTCTTGCCAGTTTTTTTATTCAAATCTTCTAAAATTTGTTCTCCTCGTGCGGGTTTCTATATGATAGGACTTGCACGACTCATACGCGACAATTGTCGCGTAGGTCTTTGATGCTACAATTTTCTAGACCTCTAGCCTCGCTGCAATATACGCGTCAAGATAGGCGTGATAGCAGTGAGTCCTCCGAACGTAACCCCTCATCGTCAACGGCTGCCTAGCTAGGCATTGAAAAGCCTTGACCTACAGCTACCAATATACCTCATGCCTAACATATGCGTCGTAATATGGTCTGGAAGACTGGTAAGGTCGATCATTTGATCGTCTACTCCCGTGGATGATTTCCATGGATGGGTGAGGTAGTTCCTAACCACTGTTCAACCGTTCACGCCTCGCGACAATGTCTTCTATGCCTCCGTCTCTTTTCGTATATAATATCCTTAAATGATAATCGGGTCTTCTTACTTTTTACCCCCCTCTACCCCACTACTACCCTCAGCAGCGGCAGCAGCTTCTAACTCTTGAGCCTTCATCCTCTCCCTCAGAGCTACTAACTTGCGCTCAAGCGGCATCTTCTGCTTTACAAGCATCGCGCGCCGCGTCTCGAGGTCGCGTATACGGTCTTCGGGAGTAGACTCGATGATTTGTTGCTTTTCTTGCTTAAACTCCTGTTGCGTCTTGAGCCCCGCGCCATAGATCGCGCCGACTATTGTTATCGCGGCGAATGCACCTGTCCAAACAAGTTTTCTAGGTGAGAAACCACCGCGGCTCGAGCTCGAAAGGGTATTTGGGTTGGTAACAGTATTTGGACCTAGGGGGGCGGCGCCGCGCCGTATTCGTCTTGGAGGGCGAGTTTTGGAGGATGGTGGGGGTGGTTGGCGGGACGCCATGTTTGATTTTTTTTTATTTCGACCTTTTCTTTTTTCGTCTGTGTCGAATTGAATCGATGTTTATCCCCAGTACTCCCTCCAACAGAGCTCACTCGCCTGTTGCTTCTTCCTCACTGCTCGTCGACGTGCCGCGTCATTACCGTTTATCTTAGTTGTTGTTCCTTCTAAGTTTCTGCTGCTATTGCTCGCGCTGCTTTCTGGGTCGCCGCTGAAAGAACTAGCGTAGCAAATTGGACCGGGTGTAGTTTCCCTGCCTGAGCGACGGATAACGGCCGCTCTCGGGAGTTCGGGGGTTCTAATTTCGTCGCAGGAACGATCGGCGGCGGGATAATTCGTGGTTGTCGTATCTGTAAGTCTTTCGCGCGAATTGGAAAAAATGGAAGGTACGGATGCAGATGGTTCAGTAATGGCAGTGGCGGTCCAGGGTCGTAGCTCTATTAGCTCCGCGTCGGGGCCGCTAGACGCAGAAGGAACAGGGACCCCGCCGGCGATATCGTTATTTCTATTAGTGGAACCAATAGCGAACAATAACGTACGCCATAGGGCCAGTGTCCTTAGTAATCCACTCGCAGCATCAGCAAACGACATCATCGATTGATGATTATCCATTGATTATTAGCTCGATGACTACCTAGGTACCGAGCTTAGGTTAGTCCGGAATACCGTTCGAGTATGTCTCTCTTTCGGTTGATTATTCTTCCCAGGTATTTTATCACACTCATCATCCATGAGTTTGTTCAATACCCCAAGATATTTAAGAATCGTTTCGGTCGCAAGCCTTGCAGGTCGATTGCCGTTGTAATTAATTATATTCTGTTATTCATTTGCTGTCAACTCAATCGAGTATTGATCCCCCTTTATCCGTATCTCTTTGAGGGGCTTCGCCTGTACTGTGTCTCTTACAAGACTTCTTCATAATCGAGTCTATTGAAAGCTATCATTTAACTGTTGGACCAGTATCACGCAGCTCAGGAATACTGTGCTGTCTTCTCCGGATAATTCTGACGTGTGTGGCTTGCTATTGGTGCCAGACCTCCTGTGTGATCAGGAATTAAGCCCACGGATTATCGGAAATATCGCTCAACGGTACCTCGAGTTTCGGTACTAATACATTGTATCATTAATACCGTTTTTCTCTTGGCGGAGTTATCATAATTCTCGAGTAAAACCGTTGCATCGACTGCGCGCAATGCCAACCCCTCGAGTCTTTCTCGTTCGTCACGGTGAGACAGAGTGGTCACTTAGTGGCAAACACACGGGCGTGACGGATATTCCTTTGACCCCCAATGGAGAGAAGCGTGTAAAGGCGACCGGTCGAGCGCTCGTTGGGGAGGATCGACTAATTGTGCCCAAGCAACTCGCACATATGTAAGTATGTCTCTTATCGTCATTCAATATTGTACGAATCTCTATAATCTCCTCGTCAAACGGCGAGAAGCTTGGGTCGATCTAATGCTTATGGGAATTCCACAAAGTTGGCTGTGGGATGGGCCATTTCCCGACTCAATATAAGCATCCGAGCAAACTCAGATGTGTGGCCTTATGGAGATTGTCCGGACTCTCCAACATCACCTCCCCTTTTAAGCTCGAAGAGACACGTGGGCGCTTCCATAACATAGTACGCAGAAAGACGACTTCTCGAAACACGTTTCACAAGCTTAGTCGAAAAAATTAACCACTGCTAATTTATACTACATTAGATATGTGTCGCCACGGAAGCGAGCGCAGCGGACTTTTGAACTGCTGAATTTCGACGTCGAGGATTCATTGCCCTGGAAACTCCATGGGGAAAAGCTGCCTGGGGCGGGCCAGGTTTGTGGCGCTCGAGTTGAAGTTACACAGGATATCCGTGAATGGGATTATGGTGACTATGAGGGCATAACAAGTCCCGAAATTCGCGAAATCCGTTCTAAACAGGGACTGACTGAGAGATGGGATATTTGGAGAGATGGATGTGTCGGTGGAGAGTAAGTCATAGTATCCTTTCTCTATCTTTATCGTCAAGAGGAATGTCGGTGACACAAGTTTACCCCGCTAGTAGGTGGGGGTCAAAATGGGAAAGTTAACATATAATTCAGGAGCCCTGACGACGTAACGGAGCGAGTGGACCGTATTATCAAGGAGATTCGGGATAAATGGCACTCTCCCGTAATCGGCAAGCCCAAGTCTGGGAACCCACCACCCGGCGACGTGCTCGTCGTAGCACATGGTCACATCCTCCGCGCCTTCGCCTTGAGATGGGCTGGAAAGACGTTACAGGATGGACCGGCATTCCTATTAGAAGCTGGTGGCGTTGGTACATTGAGGTAAGCAACACCAACCCCTTAAAGCTGATCAAATCGCTCCCATGAAGGTAATTTTGCTGACGGCGAGGCTCTGTTCAGCTACGAGCATCACAACATCGAAGAACCCGCGATATTATTAGGCGGCGCTTTCGTAGTCAGCCCATAGATAAGCAGAGTACACATCAATTTTAGAATAATGCCATCACATCTACTATTAGATACACTGCGGGCGAATTGTCTACACTAGCCTGAATAAAATGCAATCCATACGAAAAATCCATTTTTTTTCTTCGAAATTTGGTCTCATGACTAGCTATGGGAATTGAGGGTATATTGTTCACTGTGAAACTGGGTAAGGAGTCGTGACCCAGCCTCATTAATTATTCTGCAAACTAACTTTGTTGCTATGGCGTTGAATACGCATCAAGCCTTCGCACGGTAATCCGGGTCACGTTCATAGCAATGAACAGACCACACGGTGCACACGCACGCAAAAACATATAAGGTATGATAAACGAGACCCCATTGATCGAGGTCCTCTAGCAACCTGTGACCAGAATACGGAGCTGTGTGGCAGAGTGGTTAGAGGCGCGGTCAGTAAAATCCGAACAAGTGTTCGGGTTTTCGTAGGTCTCCGAGTCGAATCACGTAGAGGGCAAGACCCTGTACGAGGATTCCTGGGAGACTGAGCTTTTTGCATTTCGAGGTTTTTTTTAACCCTGTTTTATTATTACGCCTTGCTTTTTAGAATCATTTTGAGCCGTCACTTTTTCCTGTCTTCGCGTATTTTTCTCTCGTCAATTTTCCCTTCTCGTGGATGTTCATCTCGTCGCCTAATGCCTATCTAATGTATAAAATACCAAAATTTTCGCCTGTACTATTCACTATAGAGCCATGCTAAAGCTCCAGCAAAATATGATAAGTAATCCTGGTATCCTATATCCATATTTACTGCTCTACTGACGTGTCAAGCCTTGGAGAACCAACAGGACGGTCGAGAATAGTAGCGTTGGTGGGCAGAAAAAGAACTCTTTCTGTGCCTTGAACCTGCCCCTATTTGTGGTCTCCATAACTCCGCACATCGGGGATATTATGCTAAGCATTCAATCGTATTTTGATGCCTGGAACTGAGGAAAGAACGGGAAATAGACGGGCACTTTATATTATGGATCCGCGTCTATAATTATAGAGCTGGAGTGTTTTTCTCAGGACATAAAAGATGTCATACGTCTATGAAAGCACTCGCATGCAAGTGACTGTTCGGAATAAGCGCTACCCCCTATCTCCTGCGTCGTCAAGCAACATAAAAAGCCCTCCTCAAATAACCTTCCCATGGCAAGGTGAAAATCAACGTCAAAGTAATATCACGTAGATTACTCGGATGAGATTTATTTCAAGTCTCGTTTCGCCCTTATATACTAAATGATTATATAATGGAAGTATATCAAAAAATATATTGCATGCCGTCATCGACGTATAATTCCAAGCAGCTCCATGACCTCAAAATCCCTATCTTTATCTACAAAATGCATAGTATGTGAGTATACTTTCTTACACATTCTACAGTGAAGATTACGCCTTAATCTCACACGGAACATATCGGCTCAGATAAAAGTCCTTTAATTTACTGTTAGGTCATCCATAACAGCAGCCTCTATGTAGGTATGTATAACTATATATTGCCATGCCAGTAATGGAGCATCATAAGATCGTGGGCTAAATCCACTATGTCCACCTATACCTTATACGAATCGTGCTTTGTGCTCCAGATTCCCCCTAAACGTTGGTTGGTGTTATGGTAATCAACACCCTATCACTAACATTCCGGCAAGGAGGTCGATGGAGTAAATCGCAGGTATCAGCGAAGATGCATGGCGGTATATGGAAACGGGGTAGATCGGTCAAAGTTCTATACGAATATGGAGTACTAATATATTGTGGATTGTCCATTGGGGCAATGTGTTGTTTTCCAGTAACCAACAGTCAAGATTACCTGTGATGTTGGTAAATAGTTTACATTGGACATTGCTGGAGGGAATATGGAATTAATCGGATACATGTATGTTCGAAATAGCCTCGAACAGATGCTTAATGGCTGGCTACCTGGGTAGAATCTGATTAGCGGTATTGTAACTCCAATTGCAAACGTGTTGAGCCAACAATTCGGACCAGGCTGTCTTAGCTAACAACAACAAAGGCTCAAAATAACCTAGTTCAAAGGAATAGATGCTCTATGTCTCCCAGCCTTGGGTCGCGTATTCCAATAGAAATGGATAGGCCACGACGAGACATTTTAACCTTGTTCCAACATAGTAACTTCACCTGTCGTTCGTTACCTAGCTCGGTATGTAGAGTCTTTTCATGTATTCTTTCGTGAGCCTCTCGCGGCATTTTCGGAAAACTTTGAGGGTCTATTGGTATCTATTTTGGACGCGTGCGATCAAAAAGGGTATCAGTTTTTTTTACTCCGGTGGGTTAGAAGATCGAGTCATGCTCTTTCTGCTTCACCGACCAGAGAACTAGTAGCGTAGTATCATCTCGATGATCTCTCGGTATACTCGGCAGGCTATCGGCGTTATAAACCAGGCGACCCCGACTCGTGTCGGTCTACTACTTAGGCTTCGTGGGGGAAGAGCGGTCTGGGGATCGTAGTCGATAGTTTTTAGACACCGCGATTATCACACAAGCGCCGAAGGGCGAGAATCGGTTTAGGATTGGGCGTTTTACAAACTCGTTCGTAGAAGGCGAAGGAGGGCGCTTTATTGTGGTAGCTATCAACTAGATTAATGAATACCAAGAGTTATTTGCCTGCCGATTAGCATTTACTTTACGCAAGCCATCGTCAGATATTCGAGGCGTAGTATCAAGCTAGACCGAGGGCCATTGCTAGAGAAATTCTATGCAGCGAATCTCGCATTCGTAGTATAGGGAGTAAATTACTAGATTTATGGATTGTTTGTGTCGTGTTCCAGAAACTAGTTGCAGACATGATTTAGTTTTAGTGTTTACCTCCCTACAGGTATGTAAGCAAAACCCAGCTTTAGCTCCCAACGCGGTAGATGGTACGCGTATAGCAAACTTTTAGTCATTTATAGGGGGTGCTAGGTACAAATTTGGCCTATCCGGGGGAAAGGAATACCGCCTGTCTGGTTTTGAGGCGGGCGATGCTTGACCGGGGCAGATAGGCGGTTTTTCTCCCAGGGCTGCGAGATGGGCCACGTTCTCGACCCAGTTCAAGTTCAAGGGGGGGTTCAAGGAAGGAGAAGGAAGGGGAAAAATTCCGAACAATGGAGAATAAACAAACGTAAAGTTTCGGTACGGTACGGTACGTGGCGTCATCCGTAGCGTTCCCACAATGGCCGCCGAGGTATTAGTTTTAGTGCTGGATAACCCTGAGCGAAAACTGTACATGGTATATACTTCTACGCACTTATGTAAACTGGAGTCTCCTTCTCGGGGTTTTCGACGGCTTGTTTCACTCTTTTTTACGCTAGAGTATGGGGACGCAAAGGAGCTATGTAAATGGCCGTATGCATTATAGGTCGTGAGGAGGTGAGACGGCGATCCTCTCAAGTCCCAACCCCTAGGTCCCTACCGTGGGGTAGGAAAGTCATAATACATTCGCAACAACGCTGTCGAAGGATTTGCGTTTGTCCGCACCAACTCTCAGCGACCAGGCTGAGCTTCAAGGGTCTTCCTTACCTCTTACTGAGCTAGAAGTGCAGCTTGAACTAAATCCACCGACGTTGTTTTTCAAACGGATATTTTGTAATAACTAGCATTGCTAGTCGCCAACTAGCCTGCTCTTCGGTTCAACTAGCCGCTACGCGACGTTCCATCTGCCCCGTCTATGATTCTGGCCAGCTTCATGGCCCTTTCCGGGACCTCGCGGGAGCTACACCAGTTTGTCACGAGCCTACTTCACAAGGGGGCTAGTTTTTATCTTCCGTGCCAGGTTCTTTACACAGCCGAATACCTAGCTAACTATGCTATTATTTCACTCTGCATGCAAACTAAGGCCAAGTGGGAGATCGATCCCGTGTCGTCACTCGTACATACCGCTGTTACTTTACCCGCAAGTTCCATTGACTAAGATGATTGCCTTGTCAGTCTACCTACATACTTCCATGGCTTGTTCCGAAGAAAATAGACAGAGGATGGAAAGACTAGTAGAGCCCGAGTCTCAAGTTCCTCTTTCGTACTTCGTACGGGGATACCGGATCGTGGAGGCCTTCCCACCCTACTCCCTCTTCTTCCTCTGCCAGCGAGCCTACTTGCATATGTAGTAGCATGTAGGTGAGCGAGGAAAATGCCAGTGCGAGGTCACGACGCCGCTGCTATATGCGTGTAATGTGTCGCTAAGATCCCCAGGACGTAACTGCGACTAGGATACCGCTGCCAGCGCCAAATTGGCACTGAAGGGCCTGCCGGATCGGATTCCGTGTTTATGGGAGGGTGGTACAGTAGCATCCACGGCCAAATATTGCCAACAAATTCCAGCCCTTTCTTACCAAAAAACTTGGCCTGGTCCTGGTATCCACTGCAAAGGGTCCGCTGGTTTTGGTCTGATGAGGAGGCACTGCTATTGTCCCGCCCCCCTGGGCCTCTTCCATCATTGTCTCTGCGTAGCTATCATACTAGCGTGACCCCAACCTACCTAGGTACCTGACCATCTACTTGTCTAACACCGTCTCTGAAGGCCCCCAACACGCTTGCCGTTAGGTAGTCAGAGAAATAGGTTTAAATGTCCTTGGTAGCAACACTACGATTTTCAAGGCCGCAAGAATTAATCATATACGTAGGACTCTCATTCACTGTTGAATTTTGATTATGTCTTTCTAGAGATAGGCATAATAATGCCTGCAACTCATTGAAATCATGAACTGTATTATGAAAACAACGTAACGGATAAACGCTTAGACGATAAAAAACACAATAAAACTAAAACACGCAACCACCAGCTTTCTGATTTTTGCCGTGAGGCGAACCAATCTTCTTATCCCCTCCCGTGTTCGAAATCAAGTGGACGACTTTAAAAGAATTAAAAGCATAATAAGTAGAACTGATGTAAAAACAAACGAATAGACAATATGCTATGATCGAAGTTCGTCGCCAAACTAGTAGTGATCTAAGTAGGTAGGTGGTCTTTTAACGCGGCTTGCTCTCCTGTTTTTTTTTTCGTATCCGTCCGCAGATGACCTCGGTTTACGCCTTCGACTCGTGACCGCCGCCTTGACGAAGGAAATGCAAATATCGCCCTGTTATGCCGTCGACTCGTTAATTGAAAATCGATTTGAATACCGAGAGCCCTCGTCGCAGATTTAGCTCTTCAAACCCGCCGCCAGCAGCGTTCTATTTTCCCAACCCCTCCCAGACTCGCTTCCGAGCAATAATATTGATCCCGTTACCACTCTGTGGCCTCTATAGAAACCAATATTTTCTTTATTTTACTGTTGTGTCCGACGATTCAAGCGACCCAACATTTTCTGGTCAATATCATTGCTAGAAGGTGGTCCAGTACCCATTATATTCTCTAAGCTCATTACAGAACTCGCGGTGCTAGGCCCTGCCGGAGCACCAGACGGACTGCCTCTTGGCGGTGGTGTTCTGTTATCATATCCGGCGTATGAAGCCGGCTGTGGTTGTAATTGCGAGAGTGGTTGCAGATGGCTCGGGCTACTGCTGGACGAGGGAGATCGTCGTCGTGGATTATCGTCGGGGAACGTGTTTGGAGGTGGTAAACGAACTCCATGCTCGTCTTCCGAGGGTCTCGGCCGTCGCCTGCCCGCCTCAGATCTTTCTTCTGAAAAAGATCCGTACGAGCCAGTTGGGGAAGGCAATGGCTGATCATATTGCGGATTTGCGGTCTGATAGCTGCCTGCTGAGGCGAGGTTCGATGGGCCTGCTAGCGGTTGGCCATATGCTCCAAATAGTTGCGTACCTGGTGGAATACCGTTTGGCAATGCCGAAACGGGAACAAATGCAGTGGATGAGGACGATGAAACCGGCTGGAAAACGCATTCTTGATTCATCTTGATACAATTTGTACATTTACCGCCTGGCGAATTCTGGTAGCCACTACAGCGGATCTATAGCTATGTTAGTCCCTTGACGTATTTTAAATGGCTTTTTTTTTTTTTTTTTTTTCACTTAATCTAGCCTTACCTTCCTCCTTCTGCAATATCTGCAGGCAATCGAAGTTCGCTGCCGGGGAGCAGACTGTTGCATTACAGCGGCTCCTGCATGTCCACCTCTCGCATATTCAGGATACGCGCCGGGGGCGCCACGGTCTCCTCGGTACGCAAAGTCATAGGGTCCGGGAGTGCTGTAGCCCGGAAAATACTGCGCCGTTCTTGGGTCTGGATAATTGGTTCTGGGATCGGAGGCTGGCGCGTGAACTGGTGGAAGATATGAAGGGTGGCTAGAACCAGGAGGGGGATATGCGCTGCCAGCGCTTGGGGGAGAATAAGCTGTAGGCGGGGGCGCTTGTGCGCTGCTAGGCGGAGGGGGGTAGCCGTTCGTCGAGCTCGGCGAAGGACCATAACCACCAGCTCTTGGGTCCCAGCCTCTGCCCCCAGAGGGGCCGTAGGCTCCGTGGGGATCTTGAATAGACGGCAATCTTACGGTGCTCGTCGCCATTTGGGGCCGTGGATGGTGATAAGGAATGGCTCTGGCACGGTCGTCCTCCTCCCCAGGAACTGGAGGATATTGGGAGTCGTCGGTTTGGTCGTGCCTCAGCGGTTGTCCTCTATGTCGACGGTCTTCTGCCATGCTACGTTAACGGACGCTGAGGGGCGCCAGGGTGAATATTTGAGAGCGGACAACCACGCAGCAGCTAGGAGATAGCCTGTTTTAAGTGGCGCCTGAGGCGACCTGCGTTTCGAGATTTTGATACCCTGGCGACTTGACGATCCCCTTCAAATATGCTATTCCCGAGATAAGGTGATATGCCGGTCGACGACCATGTCAAAATTCGGAAAGAACCAGGGTGAATATGCGAGCCTGCGTTGTGGCGAATCTCTTCAAGTCTAGAAGTTATCAGATGCGCGCCGCCAGGACCGATCGCCTTAAGTCCTTAATGGGCTGCAGGGGTCCGCGGATAACGCAACGTCGCTGCAGAGAGCAACGGGTTAGCTTGGGAAGGATGGACGCCGGTATTAATTATAGAACGACGGAAGAAGGCGCAACAATAATCGAGGGATGAGAAGGAAGTGCGGGAGGGAAGATGACTTGACTGCGCGTAGAATGGCGGCGCAAGAAATTTAGGTGGAATGGCGGGGCCAACCGTAGTGGTGGTGGAAGGGGAAGAACCTTAACAACACAGACGGCGGAGTTTGTAGTGCCGGGTAGAAGAGAAGGGGTCTGACTCTTCTATATTTTGGTTTTGCGGGATGACCCTTGGGGGCTGCTGCAAGAGAATCTTGGAAGAGCCTAGCTAGCCTGTTAGCTGGAATGGATCCGAGCAGAAGTAGATCTACTTAGTGCGCATATGTGTAGTAGTGCGTGTGTGTGTGTGTGTATGTAGTAGTAGTCGTGGTTAGTGGTTACTGGTGGCAGTAAGGAAGGGCAAAAACAAAAAAAAACAAGACATAAAAAATAAAATATAACGAAACCCCATATAATAGTGCTTTTTCTTCTTCTTCCTCTCCTTCCTTTTTTTTCAGTTAGGAAATAGATAGCGAGAAGAGAATTTTCCAAACAGTTGGTTTACCAAGAATATATGTTCCAAATGATGATGTCCACCCATGAAATTTTCATTAAACGCACGCTCGCTCTCTCGTCTCTCACTCTCTCTCACACACAACTCACTCACCCACGCTCACTCACACACACTCAACTCACACTTACGCACATACACATATACACACACACCACAACATGCGCACCTGCACACAGCCACGAGATCTCTGCAGCCCGCAACGTCAAACAGGACTAAACTGCCGTCTGGAGACTATGCAGTTCACAAGGTTCAGGGAATATTAACTAGCTAGTTCAGCCAGCCAGCCAGCTAGCTAACCAACCAACAGCCAACAACGGGGTTTAAACGGCGGATAAGTTGCTTGTCTTCAGGGCCAGTAAAGCTGAGATAGTAGGTAGGCGGACAGGTAGGTAGGTAAGGGTTAAGATGGGTACCTTGGGCTACGTCTCGGCACGGTAGGCTAAAACGTATTTTTTTTTTTGGTATGTACGTGTCCGTATGTGTGTAAGTGTGGTTTATGTGTGCGTGCCTAGCTACCTAGATGTTGGGGCGAGGGACAGGGACGGGGACGGCAACAACCACGCGAACGCAGCTCTGCAAGCGGAGCAAGGATCCGCAGTTTGCAAGGGTTATGATAATAGTAATAGCACTGGCAATGGTAAAGGAAGAAACGGGGATAAGAAAGACTTCTCTCTCTGTATATCAGTCTGAATGTGTGAGGGAGAGAGGTAGAGATAGAGGAAGAGGTGTTGGGATGTGTCCGTGAATAGTCAGTCCCCAAGTGACTTTTCATCTAAGTTTGATTCGAGCGATGCTGCCGCGCCCGACGCAGGACGAGGCAAGTTTCAGGTGGCACTGGGACCGGAGAGACCCAGCGTGTGTATGATGATGATGCAGAAACGTACCTTTTTTTTTTCCTTCTTTCTCGAATGAATGACTCCCTACGTAGAGCTAATGCCCTACTAGCGGCAGCGTTCCTTTCCGGGGTGGGCTAGTAAGAACGGTGATTCGCGCCGGTAGACCAGAGTCTAAAAGAACGGAACCGACGGCGGATGAACTACTATTGAGAGGGTGGAGGTGGGTGCGTCTTGCGTGTGGATGCGTTGGCGACCGAGGACGACGGTCCAAGCATGAAGCTATTGAGTCGCTAACCGAGCAAAGGGTGGTAGCGTTGTCTACCTGTCTACCTGTCTACCTGCGGAGTGGGCTACAGCGGCTGGGTCGATCTCACTAGCGGGAGATGGATTCATCCAGTTGCCTTCGTAGAAAGGTGTTGGTACCGGTACTGTAAGACTTGGTAAGAGAAAAGGAATGGGACTGATGGATTGGGAGGGATGAATGGAGGATAAACACGATGGATGATGGATTGGATGTATGTGTGTATGTATGTACGTCTGGTCTGTGCATGTAATGTAGGTATGTATGTATATGTATGTCTGCGTGTATATGCGCGCGCATGCGCCCACTGAGAAAAATAAAATAGAAAATAAAAATAAACCTAAAGGCGATGGGATAGAGGAAGAGAGGTGAATGTATTAGATGTATATAGGTAGATTATATGAGGACGTAGGTATAGATAGATAGATCGGTACGTGGTAGGTATAGATATAGGTATGGAGGTATGTAAGTAAGTGAGAGAGGGTACGCAGTGGGCCAAGTGAAAACAATTGATTGAGAGAATACGAAAAGAGGAAGGGCAAAAAAATAAAATGAAAAATGAAAAATGAAGAACCTCCGTACGGTCGCAACCCGGATTATTTGATAATATGAAAATGACACAAAATGCGCAAATGGATGAAGGATAAGACTAAGAGAGAAAAATACACGGTATGAAATATGGATGTTGTGTCGCACCGAATTATTATTGTTATTATTGTTATTATTGCTATTATTGAGAATTGTAATATGATGATGGATGATGGATTATGGATGTTCAATTCGGGCATGGAACAATGGAATAATGGAATAATAATTACCTACCGTAAGGTAATAACCACTGGGAATAGGTACATGTACCTAAGGCTGCTGGGGTTTTAGGGTAGGTGGGTTTTCTTTCTTAGAAAAAAATTAAAATAAAAAAAGGCGAATAATTGTTCCAATCAGGTCAGATTTTAGGCTCGTACCTCCCGCCTTAATGGGCAATGGCGGAATCCCGTCAGGATGGGTTGGGTCTAACAGGTCGCAGAACGGGCCGCAGAGAAGGAAGGTCCAATCTGATTCGGTCGAACGAACCGCCCTTTCCAAAATGTATGGTAGATGTATAATGTAGGCGGTAGGTATGTGCGTCCGCGCCTATGTATGTGCCTGTGCCTGCCTATTTTTTGTTTTCCTCTCTACTATATACGTAGTTGCAGGTATACTTTTTTAGGCTTTAGGAAATAACTAGTAAGATCTGTAGGTTTTTTTTTAACATTTGTTTTCTTCGTCTCTCTTTCTCCTTTCTCTTATTTCTTCAACGTAAGGACCAGGAACGCTTACTTTAAGTAAAGGTTACCTATGTATAAATATAAACACATAAGTATACGTATAGGTACGTTCGAGAAATGTATTATATACGTGTAAAGAAAGAAATAAAAAAGAATAACAGGGAATTGTTTAAAAGAAAAAGAAAAAAGATGGGGAAGAGGTATAAGGTAAAATAAATGAATTAAATTGTGCAGGTAGCTTACAATTGATATTGCGAGAACAGCTTTTGCGATCGAACGTCGTATTTGGTAGAACGCAACAGCAATTAAATATCGTGGCGAAGCTACGCCGCGTGGTAGAAAGTGTGTACCTAGGTATGCAAGTTTCTCTGTGAGTGTGATCGTGCACTAATAGTCACTTTCACTTTCGCAGTTAGTAAGAAGTACGAGAAATAGAAGTACTCTGATGACGAAAACGCCACAGTTAAGATCCGCTCCGAAACCTCTTCTTCGCTGCTTGGTTATTTTTGGTCAGGTCGGCCTGTCAGTTTCGTAAAAACTTTTCGCTGTGCCGTCCCTCGTGGCGATAATGAGGCGCAGAAGGGTTTTCCAGCCGAACCGGATCCCTAAGCTCGGTCCGTTTGACAGTGACGTATGAAACAGTCTTATAAGAGAGTAAATATAGTCTTGCGCGCATACCAGAACTAATGAGAGGTCGTGTGAATTCGAATCCTCATATTCCCGTTACTACCCTTCGACACAACCTTGGAACCCTCTGTCGAATAAAATAAAGGTTGAGCGGACCCCGATTGCTGAAGGACTAAAAGGACTAGGAAAAGGTGGTAATCAGGGTTAAGACGAATCCAAAAAAGCCTCCCGAGGTTTGGCGTGGCCAGCTTCCACTGGGTAATCCCTCAAAATGAAACAGTGGCTTGTCCCGAAGGCTTGGGACACTTCGGCAGGTAGGGCTGTTTGACTGGCTTTACTCGGCTTGCCGACTCGGACTAGCCACCCAGGCACACACGCGCGCGTGCATGCGCTATAGACTAGAACAAGGCCCGGTGCGGTTACCGAACTAAGATGGCGAGAGTTCACGGCTGCATGCGGTTCGAAGATGCGATGCAATAAGGTACCGTAAATCGTTGGGTCGAGAGAATGGGTGTTTGCGTGAAGGAATACCTCACAGGATAAGGTTGATGGCTGACCGAATGCGAATCAGCAAGTATTATTATTATTATTTCTGTTGGTGGGGTGGTCAGCTTGCTTTATTTCTTTTTTCCCTCCTCTCTCTCGCTCTATTTCTTCTCCTTCCTCTTTACTTTTTTCCTCGTTATTATTTTATTTTATCTTATTTTTTTTTTCCTCCTTTCACCCCTCCTTATCGAGTTTGTGCTTCGGGTTGCCGCTTGCTGGATACCAATCAGGCCGATGGGACTTTCGGTTTAGACCCAACTGGTGAGGTCTAAGTATGTGGTACAACACCACAAGCATGGGGAGACTGAAGTACGAGTGGATGCTTCCCCCCCCCCCTTCCTCTGTTGTACCTGTACAGAAGAGGAAGAGTAGGTATTAGGTAGGTACCAGCAGGATCTTCTGCTTCCGTTTTAACCCTCGAGCATGGGGGTCACGTTGGATTGATGGATGGATTGCACAAGCTGGGGCTAATAGGCACCTGATGCACGCAACGCAAGCGTGCAAGGTCCTTCCGGTTCAGATGACGGGGTACCCGTCAGCTAATCACGATGCCGATGGCTTGACCCAAGGCTCTGGGCAACTCAGCTTCTATTTCCCCTCCTTGTCTCGACAAGGATTGCGTTTAGCGTACGCCTGTTTGTTCTCACACCGCTGCTTTTCTTCGATGGACACCCGAACACCCTCCTAAACCCTGCTAGACCTGCTGGGTATGCTAGGTATGTGTTATTATCCCCGTTTGGCGGGCCTTGGGATTGCTGCTGTTGGTAACCTAATGCGTCTGAGCATGAGATTTCTCAGGCGCCAGCCGTTCGCACTAGCCTTCCTGGAACGGAAATGCCGTAACGGAATACAAGGCGGATAGATCCCAACGTGGTGGCTCAACGGGGTGGCCCGAAACTCTGATCAACGGGCTACGCTGCACAATGCCTTTTCCACCTAGAAGAACACCAATGGATAAATGCGGCCGAACCACAACCTGGCCCTGGCTTGCTATAATAAAGGAAATGGTGTATATGATTGCGAGCGATATGAAACTGCGCCTTTTTTTTAAAAAAAAAAAAATCCTTTCCCACAACTTGGAAAACACCTAGTCGTGATAAATAAGTAGCTGTACTTGCGAGTCGCGACGCGAGGA